AAGCCAACACTGAGGGCTCTCGGAACTTCCAATTAGTTTTCAAGTGAAATCATGACCACTGGGGACCCGCCGCTACTTGTGGTTTTCAAGGTGAAAGCAATTATAAAGGCAGAAACCAGGATGGCAACAATTCCGGTGCTTTATCACCGTTAACGACGACACTAATGGAGTCTTAAAAGACTTAACCCCTCTGCACAGAGCTGCTGGGAGCTTCCCGTCCTGTGGGGATCCTACTTAAGACCAAGTGCTATTTTCCCCCTAAAGAAATGCCCTAATCATCGCGGGACTGGTTGCTTTCGATGAAAATCCCTTATGGTTAAAATTCACCCAGAGGTTTCCCATGCCCTACTTCATTTGCTCCCGCCACAGCCCTCGGAGAAAGGCAGAGCAGGGTGCAGGCCTCACATGGAGGTCAGAGGAGCAAAGCCAGGAACTGATTCCTGATGCCAGGGTAGTGCTCTTTGTTGTTCCAAGACTCCCAGCCGCTCAGGAAATATGAGCTGGGCAACCAAGTGAAATAAAGAACAAACAAACATACGTGGACCGGGTATAAACTGTTTCCTGGGCCGCGGCTGAAAGCACACAGGAAATAGTATTGACGTTAATCAGAGCAAACAGTCAATGCTAAGTGCCAGGCCCTGTGGTATGTGCTTCGGGTGTGAGCTCAATTAATCCTTAGGAAGCCCTCGGAGGTAGTATTCCCATTTTATGGATGGGAAACTGAGGCCCAGAAAGGTTTAAAAAAAAAAAAAAGATGTCTAAGGACACCCAGAGTGGGTCAGTGGGACTCTACACTGCTGTGCTTAGTACTCCTTAGAGAAGGCCCAGCACGACTGTGGTGTCAAAGAAAAACCAGAGATGCACAGTCGTAAAAATGTGGCTAAAACAGATTTTGCTCAGGACTATTGCAACAGGGAAAAAGAGACCTCAGGATAGAACTTGACTCAATTCCAAATACTGCCTAGGCAAGTGAGAACTTATAGCCAAGGAGCAGGGAGGGGATCAGGGAGTGGAATCTTTAAGAGGAAATGCCAGGGGTCAGTGGGATTCTGGCTAAACCGACCTAACAGGATTCCTGAGGGCAGGGGAGCATGACCAGTTATCACTTGGGAAATGGTGGAGGAGGAAGCCATCAGATATCAAGGTGATCAGACATTGAGTGTGGGGGTTTCTGGTTAAATGAACTCGGCAGGGTTCTCCCTAAAACTAGATTCTATAAGGAAGTGCACAGATGGGCCTCGGATTAGATTTTGAAGCCTGACTAAAGGTTGGTCAAGCAAAGTATCTTTATCAGTAGTAATGTGAGCGACAACTCCAGGGGATTTCCTTAGCTTTAGAAATGAGCCTATATATTATAGCTCTCTAGTGAAACCGGCCCAATATTGGATTCAGCTTTCCAGTTTATTAGGTTTAATAACGTTTGATTACCATTGTTCCCTTCTTTTATTAATATCTAGCCACTTACACTAATAGAGTTACTCAACTTTTTCTGTTTATGAATCGTTTCACTTGGGCCAGGTATTTCCACACAAAACCTGCCTCTTATTAGAATCTGTGAACTTTCTAGGGGGATCAATACGTTATACCGATGTCTCAGAAGTGAAAAATGCATTGAGCTGTACACTTAAGATTTGTACATTTTACTATAAGTGTATGAAATCTGTTGTTGTTTTTTTAATGATTTTTAAAAATCCGACCTTCCCAGATTCTCCCTGCCTCCTTGCTCCAGAGCTGGGCGCTAAGAGCCCTTCAAAAAGCGTCACCAGGTGGGAAGCCAGAGAGCATGTTGGAGGAGTTCCTGCCTCTGCCACATCCCAGCATAAAATCCTAGTTCTCTAGAACTTATCGTTGGTCCTAAAATAAAACCTATTCCTTCACCATGGCCCTTAAAAGCTGTATTTGACCCTGGCCACTGTGGCTCCGATAGTTGGAACATCATTCTGAGCACCGAAGGGCCGCTGGTTCCATTCCCAGTCAGGACACACACCCAGGTTTCGCGTTGGGTTCTCTGTCGGAGTGTATACGGGAGGCAACAGATTGATGTTTCTCTCACATGGATGATTCTTTCTCTCTCTTCCATTCTCTCTCAAATCAGTAAAAGCATATTCTTGGGTTAGGATTAAAACAAAAAAACAAACAAAAAAACCAGGGAGCATTTTCCTAATCCTTTGAGATTTTGCTTCCCAGCAGTTGTCATGTTAGACTCAAACTCAAAAATTCTTAAAAAAAAAAAAAAAAAAGCAGTAATTATTCAGGCTTCTGAGGATACTATTCTCCTTGCTAACTGCGCCCTAATTGCACTGGCCTACTTTCAGCTCAGATATGCCAAGATCTTGCGTCAGAGCCTTTGCATTTGTTAATTCTCTGCCTGGAGTCTCTGCCCCAGCTCTGCAAAGGTTCCTCCTTGTCCTTCAGGGCAGTTTAGCTTTCCCAACCCCTCTAAATGAAACTGCTTTCTTTAAAGCCCTTCTCATGTGTGTAATCCTTTTGCTCTTTTCCCTGTACCCTCCAGGTTCTAAGTGGACCAAGGGCAGGGAATGTATGTCTTGCTCACTGCTGTCATCTGGGCACAGCACCAAGCCTGGCACGAAACAAATATGTGCTGTTGCTTGGTTCTCCTCTGGGTCTATAGGCCAGCCCTGCCTCTAGGAAGCCGTTTCCTGACTTCCTTTCTTCCAGCCACTGCACTATCATCAGGCCCAGTTCCCTTTCTCCATAATGCCTCCATCAGGCCTCATCCGGTCTGTCTTCCAGAACTGTACAGGTCTGGTTACAGGGGTAACCAGCAGCCCGCCCAGCTCTCATCCCTCATCCCTTCCACACCACTCAAAGCTGAGGTCCCTAAGGGACACTAGAAGCCACCCAGCAATGGGAGGTTAATGAAGAATGGTAGCAACCATACTAACTTGCTATTTGAATTTTAACCCTGCTATTCTGGCTTCTGCACTCACTTACTTAAATAGGGTAGTTGCCTCAGCTTCCAGATTGAGACTTGGAAACTCACAAAGCTAACTTTCCTGTGCCTGTATACCAGGACCACAGGAGATTGATTCCCATTGGCTCAGTAGCTCCAGGAGTTGAAATTGCAGACAGCCTTTAGAGATTAACTTTGTTCAGCTCTGCTTCTGTACTATCTGCTATCACAAGATAGGTCCACATTCCTACATCCAGCGGGATGTGGCTTGAATGACCCGGCGGGTTGTTCCCAGCCTTTAGAATTTAGAACAAAGGAAAACTTTTGTGGTTTAGACCTTTGAAAGGACTGCCTACACCTGGTACGGCGTGGTCCTGAGTGTGGACTCCACCTGCGTGTGGTGCTCACACGGCCATCCTAGCCAGTTCAATAAATCCTTGCCTGTTTTTTTTTAAATCAATAAACAGCCTCCAGTGGTCTTATTTTGACTCCAGGGTTTGACCCCACAACATTCAACATCATATTTTCCCCTCAGGGTGGAATAAGCTAAAACTTTTTTTTAAAAGCAAAGCTCCCAGTCCTTTGTCCACAGGAGTGAAGTGGCAGGTGGAACAGCACATTGTGCTGTGAGGGCTGACACCTGTGAGGGACGGGGCTCTGGCACACTGGGGAGTGCTGGCCCCGTCCATTAGGAGGAGTTGCTTATTCAGTTCCAACTGATTATTGCCAGTTCTGAAATCAAAACCCCAAACCTAGATTTTTACATTAATCTTCTCAATTTGTAAATATTAGCTACTAATTCAATTAAAAAAAACAACAACAACCCACTATGGTCTAATAAAACATATCTATGGGCCACCAGCTTGCAATGTTCAGGAAGGTGAGGCTGCCTTCTTCCCATCTTAGAGGTATCCCTGTAATTGCCCATGTGGCCCTCTTGTCTGCAGAATCTCATTCAGAGTTAGCCCAAAGTTCCTCCTTTTGCTTTTTCCCAATCAATATCTCAATTTCCTCACTGTAATGAAGTCCAGCTTGGAAAGCAATCTGAATAAAAAACACTCTCTACCCCCAAATTCAATAGTTAGGATTAGCTGCATTTCAAAAGTTATCTAAATGTATTAGATATGTTTCAATTAATAGAATTAGAAGCAATGCCAAAGTACATTACTTTGGGCCAGTTAGGAAAGATGCCAAGCACTGAGCCAAGTGCTTGAAATGCATCAAACTGCTTCAGTCAGATGAGGTTATTACCTGTTTTTTACTGAAGAAAAAAAGGAGGCTTAGAGAATTTCAGGCCCTTGCCCAAAGTCCCTCACCCTAATAGTGGTAACAGCAGGTCTGCCTGACACTGAAGTCTATACACTTAACCACACTAATTCAACGTTACTTCTCCAAGTGGAATTATACAACCCCCATGTAATGGTGTCCTGGGCACAACCTCACAAGGGATATTCTTGAGATGTGTGTGATCCTGTAAGAGCCTAAGATAATGCATGTGGTCAGCCTTCCTTTGAGACAATGCCTCCCTTTCCCCATTGCACAGACACCAAATTTTCAAGGCAAACGCAAAGCCTTCAGATACCAACAGGGCCTCTATGCACAGTTGGTACCCAGGGCTGGAGGACGGACACGGGCTTTTCCAGATGAGAAGGACTAAGGTGAAAGGGCCCGAAGAAGCATTCAGGCTATTGTGTCAACAATACTTCCCAACTAAGTCCTTGTGTGTGTGCCCCAGGAGTCCTACAGTCCCAAACTACTAAAATAAATTCTCAATCAAGCCTTTGTTCCCATTATTCCCTTTATTCCAAAACAACTTTATTTGGGTAAGTTAGGAATATTCACACATCCTGCTAGGGCATCATTCCAAAGAAACAGAACATCTGGGCTCACAGGAATCTGCTCTGTTGGGTCAATAAAAATAAAAATAAAGTAAAAAAAAAAAAAAAAAAAAAAAAAAGTCTAACCACAATTTCAACTTATTTCTTTTTAAATAAAGTTTTTCGTTCTTCTTTTCAAACTGAATTGTTCTTGACTCCTCTTCTTATCATTCATTTCAGGTTTCAGAGTTTCCTTTTGACTTCTGGAACTAATGTGCTGTTCTGAAAGAAAAGGAGACAAATGCAAAATTATTGAAGGTTTCAATTTACTGTCATAGTTCCTAACTGGTGACAAGAGAGATATCAAAGTACTCTCCCACTATAAGTTCCCATTAATAAAGGAATAATCATTTTTTCTATGAATTCTATTTACTTATGCCCCATCTCATTTCACAAAAGTAAAAGACCAAGTTCAAACTAAAACTGATGGTAAGTTAAATAAAAATAATGAAACAAACCTAATAACTAAGAAAGTGATATGTGAAAATTTAAGAAGATGAGGTAATTCCAGGCACACCTCTCACAGTGCAAGGCCAAAAAGACAGTGCAATTTTTTTTTAAAAAAAGATTGAGTTTTAGAGAGAGAGGAAGGGAAAGGGAGAGAGAAACACTGACATGAGAGCAAAACACTGATCCGCTGCCATACTGGCCAGGGCAAGACAGTATAAATTTTTATGATGTGAACAGAAAAGATGATTTAGAGAATGCTCATCTTCAACTTCCCAGACTCCATGTCCACCAATCAACAGTTGGCCCTCATACAGCTAGGAAGACAACGTTCTGACCTCTTAGTACAGAATCCTGCATATGTGTCAGAATCTAAATTTTAGAATGATTCTCAAAAATGGGACTCAGCTCTCAGAAAAAAATCACTTCATTTCTTTATTCCTTCTTGCTGTAAGGCTGCCTGTCCCTAGACTCCAAGAAGTAACGGGGAAACACAAGAACAAAAATGACAATCTAGGCAGACAGTGGCAGCAGCAAGTAAGTGATTTGGTGGCTCTGGCAAGCAGAGGCTGGGTGCTGACACACACACCGTCTTCAGCAGGCAGCTATATCCAGAGGTGAGGGCCAATGTGATGACACAATCTTGCAGAATGGCTGCCTTCTACTCAATTAATTAACAGTTCCAAGGGGCAGGTACAGGCACAAACTAATCCTGAGGGCTGAAGTGAGTGCTCCTAACTCCCTACCAACACTCAGGTTCTTTAAAATGTGTGCTCCAAATGTTCACGTGGAGAGGATTAGCATGAGTATGAAACGAGAACAGCTGGAAAGGCAGCGGCCCACAAGCCTTTCTCCTGGCTAAGAAGTTATTCCCAAATCACATCAATGTATGTCCTCAAATAAAAACCACCTAGCTACCAATGACTTCACTTTAAAATCCTAGGTCCCACCCTGGCTGGTGCGTTCAGTGGTTAGAACGTCAGTCCTCACACAGAAGGGCCTTGGGTTAGGATCAAGGACACAAACTCTTGTCCAATTGGGGTGTGTGCTGAAGGCAACCCACTGTTTTTTTCTTACATTGCTATTTCTTTCTCTCTCTCTCCTCCCCACATCCTTTCTACTCTCAAAAGAAATATCCCTGGGTGAGGATTTAAAGAAAAAAAACACAAAAAAACTCTACTTCTCAACTTCAGAAAGTCCTAAACATCCAAATTATCAAGGATTATTTCCTCTCTTTCAAGAAGTATGATTTGGGGACAGTAGGGTGAGGGCAGGCTATCTAAAAATCAAGAAAGACAAAATCAATCTTTAAAGAATTAAAGAGCTCAGTATTTAGCAGAAAGGGCCAGTTCTGAAAGCAAAACTCAGATAGAGCAAGTATGTAATTTAGGGTAAAACCAAAAAAATTGGAAATGGCCAAGGAATGAGGATGGGAAAGAGGGACTCAAGAAAAAGGGCACTTTTTGGAGTGTGGAAATAGGCTGTATCTTGATTGAGGTGGTGTTTACACTATTGTATATGTGTTTGTCAAGATTCACAGAATTCTTCACTAAAAAGGGTGAATTTTACTGTATATAAGTTAAACATCAAAAAAAAAAAGTAGTTTCTTTTTGTGTTGAGGATGAGACGTTTCAATTTATGGTCACACATCTGTGAAAAGGCTCTACAGCATATGCTTTTGTTGATTTTTTTTTAATTTTTTTATTTCCAGAGGGTTAAAAATTAGATGGCTTCATTGCTCTGGCAGGAAAGCCATTTCCACAGGAAGGGATGAGAGGTAACATGACTAGAAAATTCAAATACTTGTTTCCTCCATTTGATCTAGTACAGGGGTCAGCAAACTATGCCCCATGGGCCAAATCCAGCCCACTGTCTGTTTTTATAAGTAAAGTTTTATTGGAACACAGCCACGCTCATTTATTTTCATAGTCTGTAGCTGTTTTCACATTACAGGGGCAGAACGGAGTAGTCCTAACAGAGACCGTATGGTCTTCAAAACCTAAAGTACCATCTGGCTCTTTCCAGAAAACTTTTGCTGGTCCCTGGTCTAGAGGAGTTGATTAATGAAGCATCAAACATTCTCTCCTCCTTGCTTCCACTTCATCTTTCTTCTAGGACTAATACCTGCATGGAGAATGGGTGGTATTTCACATGACATTTCAGTCACAGAGGGAGCAGCACAGTCCATATCCTTAACTCTAGGAATCTGGGTTCTGATACTGGCTTTGCTCTGTGGCCATCAGTCCATAATTTAGAGTCTCACCAAAACAAGTTTGACCCAACCAAAAATTAGTGTTACAGAAAGGCCTAGAAACCATGACAAGGTGTGCCAGGACTTATCATCAGACCATCATGTAATGAATTTAGATGTTCTAAATGGGGTATCCTTTTAAGAAGTCCAAGGATGGACCTGTCTTATCTCAACTGTTCTATAAACATAGAGAGGGACTATTATCTAAAAAATACCCCATGAGTCCGACCAGCACAGTTCAGTAGTTGAGTGTCAACCTATGAACCAGGAGATCACAGTTCAATTCCTGGTCAGGGCACATGCCCAGATTGTGGGCTCAATCCCCAGTGTGGGGCATGCAAGAGGCAGCTGATCAATGCTTCTCTCTCAACATTGATGTTTTTATCTCTCTATCCTTCCCCCTTCCTCTCTGAAGTCAATTAAAAAAATTAAAAAATATATATATATAGTATCTCATGAGACATTAGGGAGGATGGAGTTATGTATTTAAAGCCAGGTCAAGGTTGCTCTGCTGCAAAATTACTCCACCCACTGGGCTAACTCAAGGGGTAGTCACAACCTGGGCCAGAAAGTGGGGAAACGACCTCAGGATTCAGCTTTGGTTTAGGGGTGAGTGGGGAGGAATGAGTGGGCTGCAAACTAGATAAGTAACTGACATGCATGAGGCAGGCAAGGGGACAGGGGCCCTGCTTCTGGACGAGACCGCCCTTCATCGTTACCGTAATGTCCTATATTTTGCCAATCTACTGCTCTGCTCTGCAGCGATCCTGCCAAAGGAAAGAGGGATTGAGAATCAAGAAAGGACAGTGCGAAGAGAAGTAAGCTGAGGAAAGAAACGGCAAACACCCAACCAGAGCTTTCTATAGGGTCACTGACTTTCCCATTGTTTGTTCTAGGACGCACACATGGCAACGTAAGAATGGGCTTTAACCTTCTGTATGGGATGTGTGTGGGGCGGGAGGCGGGGGGGAGATAAGAATCATGATCTCTTTCTCTAAAACATGTACAAATTTCAGGATTCCAGATTAGGAACTCATGCTAAATGGGATTTCAATAAAATGGTTTCCACCCTTATTTCCCCTTAATTTTGTTTGTCTTGTGGGGCAACTTCCAGAAATAAGAGAACTCAGAAGAGTATGGCCTTGAGCTCCCTAGGTCAAGGGAACAGGGCTTAAAAAAAACAGCTGAGTCCCTGGCCCTTTCTCAGATGCAATCAATGCATAGCTGCCAGGTGAAGGCTGCTGGAGGGGCAACAAAATGAGCAGCTGCCACGGCTGGTGCTAAGGGAAGCTCTAGTGGAATCTGGATTATTCAGGGCCGTCTGGGTGCACATCCCGGGCTGGGCTTCCACGGTGAGGCCCTAGAAAGCTCACAATGGAGACCCAGGCAGGAATGAGATGTGTGGCTCTCCCGCCCACTAATGATCTCTGAGAGGCCTCCCAGATCTGACCGACTTAATCAGCAGCGTGTTGGAGGGCACACTACTGAATTACAATCTTCCAGCAAAAGTCCTGGACAGCAGAAAGCAGGACATGTCTAAAAATGCTAACTTCCAAAGGTGAAAGCAAGCCTGACTTTCTTTTACTGACCTTTACATGGCTGACATCACCCAAGTTTAATAAAGTCAAATCAATGAAAAACACCTGTGTGACATTTAAATGTGCCCCTAATCCAGGTTCAAAAGTCAAGATGCCATCACCTGAGATCTGATCACTGTGTGAACCTAAGATTGTCTGGTTCTTGGAGATGTGGTCTGGGCTACTGACCAGTGAGGCTGATTCTGGGGGGAAGAGCATAGATCTTCATGCTCAGGAGAAGCTCCGGGAGCCTGTGGGGGTTACAGAGAAGTAACCCTCTGGGGGCAAGGGAGGAGGTCAGGGTTCTCTGGGGCAGCAGAGAACATTTTTCTTTCGGCCAGCCAGCACATTAACAATCTTTTACTCCATTTTAACCTTCATAAAACAATTATTTTCTTCTCATGTTCTAATGTGTCAGGATATAAATAGCTGGGACTTTAAAACACTAAAGTTGACCACCAAGGCCTTGTTCTGACTTAAAAAGGCTTCTGTGTTGGGCTGGATTAATGTGCCACCCTTGCCCTTAAGGATTAAATGTTTTACCACACACCGTTGTTCAGAGAGTTGGGGGAATAGAGCTAACAAAATATTTCCAGCGGACCGTGGCCCATCCCCATCCTTACCTTTTGATTGCCTGCTGGGCCAGCATCCGATTGCCAGCCAGAAATGTCACACTACCCAAGATGGCCAGGTACTTCAGGGTCTGGAACATGTTGAGCTGAGTCCAGTAGACATACATGAGCCCCAGCATAGCTACAAGAACAGGCACCATGATAGCCAATTAAATGAAACAGTGAAAACAAACTGGGGCAGAGGACAGTGAGGAGCAGTAATTGCTAGATCCACAAAAGGTCTATTTCTAGAACAGCTTGTTTTATTCCTTTTATCTGATACCAGAAAAATAGATAACTCAATATACTTGCCTCTCAGCCTTCACTATCAAGAAATCCAAAAGTAAAAACCAGATCTCAGCTACTTATCTTATTCCACAGTCTGGCTCACATAGATTTTCTTTAATGTAGATTTTTTTTTTAAAAACATTATTGTTATACTTGGGATTCATTTTTAAAATCCTGAATAAAAATATACAGGATTAAATAAATAATTTCATTTTTCTTAAGATTTAAAAAAATATGTTTTTATTAATTTCAGAGAGGAAGGAAGATACAGACAGACAGAAACATCAATTATGAGAATCATTGATTGGCTGTCTCCTGCACACCCCATACTAGGGATCGAGCCCGCAATCCGAACATGTGCCCTTGACCGGAATTGAACCTAGGATCCTTTAGTCCGCAGGTTGATGCTCTATCCATTGAGTCAAACCGGTTAGGGCCTTAAAATATTTTTTTAAGGATAATTTGCCACTATGCCTAAGAGGACTGAGGAGGAAGACTCAGTGAAAAGGGCTCAGGCCTATGCATTGAGAGTCCAGGGTTCTGGTCTAGGCCTGTCCTTCCATCCACACAATTTCTCTAAGCCTAAATTCTCACCTGTCAAATATGGATCATAACTCTGCCCTGGTCACCCCCATCAGAGTTGTGATGAGAATCAAATGCGGGGATGTGCACACAAAGCATTCTGGCAAGAAAAGTCATGGCTCTAAACAAATTATATTCAAGTTTTGTTCTCAACCTGACCCAGGAGGCTATCACTCAAATCCAGTAACGGGGCTAGAGAGAAAGGTCATCCTATCAATTTTGCCCTGAAGGATGATGAATGAACCACAGCAGGAGTTCTTAACCATTTTTGAGGTCACGGACCACTTTGAGAATCTGATAAAAGTTATAGACTCTCTCTTTCCCCAGAAAAGAACAGATACAAGTTTGCCCAGAATTTCAAGGGATTCATCTGTGGGCCCTTAAAGAACCCACACACAATGGATACATGAGGGTCTCCTGAAAGAGTCAAAGAAATTAGAAAAGAATATAAAAGTGAAATGCAAGGCAACACCAATCCAATGGTGTTGCAAGCCTTTGAAATGCTTAGGTGATTTGTGAATTGACAGTTTAGGTCCTAAGTTCTCAAGAAAACAATGCAGGACAGGGTGTCTGATGAGGAAGAAACTGTTTTCTATTACTGTCCAGACACAGCCGCCGGCAAATGTGAAGATCGATACCTTAGGGAAAGATAACCTTTGGAAATTACATTAATGCTCTTTGTCCAGGAAGATGGCTCAATGTAAAGATACGATAGGTGAGTAATCTCTGAAAATGAACAGGGCTATTAAATGAGGGTAAATGGCCTGCCAACAGCAGCCTAGTACAATGAAACCCAATATAATGACAACTGTTCTAAGCTGATGGCCCAAACAGGTTTATCATCATATTAACTGTCCTAAAAGGCCAGGCGGAAGAGGGAAATGTTATACTATTAAGTCATTATAGTTAATAGGTTGTGGGGCTACTTAACAGGGCGTTTGCGTGGGCAGGCTAAATGTCAGAGGAGGTTAAATGGAATTAGCAGCCAGGAGCACTTACCAGCATGTCCCAGGTGAAAGATAATTGTGCTAGGAGCAAAAGTAAAGTTGGAGATATTGGCACCAATCCGGATCCACTAAACAATGGGGAGAAATAAATTAAAAAGACATTACAATTTGAAAGGGAGGCAACACAAGGCATGTCAATGCTAGTCCAATGAAGAATCCTCAGGGCTCACAAGTTCATGCATACTTGGACAGGGAATTTTTCTGAGTGACAATTACCCTATTCAAAGTCTTTAGGAAAAATTGTTCCCCACTACTTTTTTTTCCTTTTCTTTTTTTAGAAAGGCAATCCAACACCTGCACTCAAATGTGGTTGAGTAGCCCTAACCGGTTTGGTTCAGTGAAAAGAGCATCGGCCTGCGGACTGAAAGGTTCCAGATTTGGTTCTGGTCAAGGGCATGTGCCTTGGTTGCAACCACATCTCCAGTGGGGGGTGTGCAGGAGGCAGCTGATTGATGTTTCTTTCTCATTGATGTTTCTAACTCTATATTCCTCTCCCTTCCTCTCTGTAAAAAAAAAATCAATAAAATATATATTTTTTAAATGTGCTTGGGTAACTCAAACCTGAACATCATATATTGACAGCAAGCTTTTCTATTTTAAAACAGGTGAAGCCTTGAAGCAAAAGGTCAGAAACTGCATTCATGATAAAGTAACTGGCACCCCTGCTATTTTCTCTAAGTGTTGGTAAGGTAAACCCACTGGCAGCTGGTAGGATGCGTGCTTTTGCTATGGGTTCCTTGGCTTTTGAAATTCTGATCACTCAAATATGACAACAGGTACCCATAACCTAGGGTCTGGTTTCTGAAAGCTTGTGGCATACCTTTCAGATTTATATTGATCAATAACTATTTTATTAATATCAATGAATGGATTAAGAACAGGCAATTTTCCAAAAGATCCAATGAGTTTCTAATTTTCTGAATTTTGATTATATGAATCTATGTTTATAATTTTTAAAAAGAAAAAATAATTGGTAAAAAGTTTTCAAATAGTACTTTCAAGTATAAAAGGTAAAAGTTTCTTTTCTCTATACTCCTTAAAAAGATCTCTTCTTAGAGATAATCCTATCCTAACCCCTTGCCTTCTTCACTCAATAAGACATCCTAACCATCTTGTCATATCAGCATATAAATCTATGCATTCTTTTAATAAACTGCTTATTATTCCACAGTATGGACATACCATAATTTATTTAACACTTGCTTTTACAAAGACTCTAGGTTGTTTATAGTTTTATGCTATAGTGCTGAAATGTACAGCTTCTGTACTGTTTTTATATAGCTATAGGCATTGGGGCCTTGTTTTTTGTTTTGCTTTTTCTACACTTACCTCATCTGAACATTCCTAGAGAGAGCATCCCAGTCCATATAACTTTATCATTTTCAATGGCCATTGGGTACTTTCTCATGCCCCTTATTAATGGAGTGGTTTATTTGGCTGCTTCCCCACAGTGGAGACTTTTAGTTATTCTAAAAGTTTTTGACCACTGGTGCAGGTCTCAGCTGCTGGACCCCTTTGGAGCTGTGCTGAGGCCAGAGCACAAAGCCTCCTTTGGAACAGCTACATCTGCTAAGTCTGGCGCCAGACACATGCTGCCCATGCTAATTACAGCTACTTACCAGAGCAAAGAGCAGGAGCAGGGGTGAGAGGATCAGGGCAGTGAATGTATTCGACACCACTGTGGGGGGCCTCTTCTCAGGCTCACGGAATAGGTGCTGCCAAAATAAGTCACATCAAGAATATTTAAGAACATGCCCTTCCCTGTAGGAGCTGCCATGTTTACCAGGGTCCAAAATGCCATTGACAGTCAAGTTGAGGAACTGTCTCTGAGGCTAAAACCCCCTGGCAATGAATGGCCACTTGGCCTTTAGCCTCATCTCAATGCTGGCTTCTGATCTCAGAGGTCTCTTTTCAAAGACAATACACTAGTCTCAGCTTACTACTTGGCCAACCCTTTTTATCCCTTCAAAGACTCATTGCCATTTAGAGGTTGGGAAATGCAATCCATCAAGTGGCATTTGCCTGGTATCAAAGAGGGAGCCCAGGTATATGAATGGCTTAAGCAGCACACTCAAGGCAGGAGTCTGGATTTTGTAATGCTACTGGGTCCCCACAGTGGGAATGTCCATCATATGTTACTCCTCCACTTAAGTCAGCTAACTGGTATTAACCTCATTCTCTTTATCAGAGTCCTACTACCCTACTCAAGGGCGCCTGTCTTTCTTTTTTTAATAGTGAAATAAGAGTAGTCTGCTTGGAACGCTTCAACATTAATTTACACATAGGTTTCCACATTACTACAGTAAGATCATTTCTCATGAATACAAAATAATTCACTGAGTGGATCACCTGTTTTCTTAACCAGTGATGAAACTGTTGAACAATTCTTGTGCTTATTTTGTGAAGTGTTTTAGAAACTTTTTAAAGCCTTTCTTGCCTTATCCATTTTCTTTATCTGTTGGTTGTTTTGTTTTTTAAATCCTTACCCCAGGATATTTTTTTCTATTGATTTTTATAGAATGGGAGAGGAGGGAGATAGAGACATCAACATGAGACAAATTCATCAGTTGCTTTCTGCATGAGCATTGACTGGGGCAGAGGATGGAACCTGCAACAGAGATATGTGCCTTCAACAGGGAATCACATCCACGTCCCTTAGATCCAAGGGCTGGGGCTCTAACCACTGAGAAAACCAGCCAGGGCTACCCATTATGTTTTGACTTTCACAGCAGTCTGTGAGCTGTGCTGGGCAGGGATGGCTAATATTTATATGCAAAGAAGGTGAATCCCAGAAAAGAGGGAGAATTTGCCTCGGGGAGGAAAGCCCTGCTGTCCTAGTTGAGTTTTCCACTAGTCAGCCCCATAGCCCTGATTTATGCAGGAGCAGACAGAAAAAAAGCAAAGCCCAGTTTTGCTATAGCCCAGTGATCTCAGGCTGTGCCTCCTGGATGTTTAAGAAAAACAGACTCAATTTATGAGATTGGCTACAACTACCTGCTTTCTGGGAGCTGGTCACAGGGCTCTTTGAGCCTGTTTTGTCCGGTCTAGGACACGACTGATATACGCTCTGCCTAATTCACAGGGTGGTGAGGACCAACCAAACTATACATCATTATATAGACAGGTTAAAGAAGGGACCAGAGCCACCGTCCAGAGGTCTGCTGCCATTTCACCTTTCCTTGTGCTTAGTGGAGAAGCCTCTTGAAATATACCTGAATTTCCTGTTTGGGGGTGAAAAGGTTCTTGGACAGGACAGTCGATGGAGCATCTTCCTCAGGGAACTTGATGACCACATCAGCCTAAAAGAGTGAGAGCATCTTTAAAGTCACAGGGACAGAGAAGGGGGTAAGATTCACCAGCACAATAGTACTCACTAACTCACATCCAGGACCATAAGTGGAAAAAGCTCAAAGATGTCCAATCACTTCTAAGTCAGCAAACTGAGGCAGTAAAAATTTCAAAAACAAAATAATAATTTGTTGAAAATGCATTTTAGAGCAAGAGTTCCAATTTTCTACCATCCTGGTGAGCTGCTTAATATAAAAATCTCAGCTGGTACTCAGGCTGTTACAGTTGCAATCAGAAAACACTCAATGTCCCTGGGAAGTGTGATTTAGTCCCAAGAAAAAAGAAGAAAAAAAAAAAAAAGAAAGAAAAGAAATGAAAATGCGCTCTCATACAAAAAGCAGCCCAAAGTCCAGGAGAAGAAAAAGAACTTTGAATACAACACAAGAAACACAGCTGCCCCTTTGTCTTGCAAAGGGAGCCAATCACCATTCAAGGATGCAATCTGGTCTGTTACCTTTCCAACCTCTTTGTCTCCTGCTGCTGACCAGACTCATCAGGTGCTCCAGTAAAATAGATCAAACATATTGCAGTGAAAGTACCTCAGGCTTTTCTGCAGGCTATTCCCCAGTGATTAGCCCACAGCCTCATATATTATTCTGATAAACCCTTGGAATTCTTCAATATCTAGCTCCAATGCCATGCTTTTTAAGAAGTTTTCTCTTATCAATTATGATACACAGGTGAAAGGCACTATGTAAATCAACATGTTATGCAAATGTTGATTTTTAGTTAATTAGCATTTTGAATATCCTATAATTCAATGCTCCCCACCATTCTGAATTGTTAATGGAACTCAAATCTTACCCAACCCCTATCCCATAAGGTATACTATATCTCAAAGGCCAAGCCCTTTATCTCTAGCATTTATGTATTCTACATAGTCCTTTGATGTAATATGAAAACCTTCTTCCAGTATAACTTTTATAGAAATTTGCTTGAACCCACAGGGCAAATGTATAATTCATTCATTCACTCGATTACTTTTTATTAAGCGCCTACTATGTGCCAGGCCATATCATGCCTCTAAGGCTACTAATAGCGACAGCACACAGCCCCTCACCTCACAATGCATATCTGTTGCCCTGTGAGTGGCATAGGCAAGGCTAGGGTAAAAAAAAAACCCAGGGCCCTGAAAAGGAACTGTCTGTGTCTGACTGTGGCACAGCCACTCTTGCCTAGGTCAAGGTGCATTTAGGCACATACCACATTCCAAAGGATTGGGTTCTTCAAAGTGGCATCTCCGATGATCAAGTAGAGAGTGTAGATGCCAGACGCGGAGTCAAATTCGATCTTTCTCTCAGAAGTATCCAGTTCAAACTTGTACACATTCTTGCTGTCCGGCTCAGCTACAAACACTACTTCCTGGCCAGTCTTCTGGTTATGGAGTCGGACAAATGTCTGTATGAAACAATAATATTGTATCATATGATAATTTAAAAACGCCCTCAGGGCCCAATATTGAATCAATGAGGCAGCAGACTGCTGGCTCTTTCAACACAGTGAGAGCTCCTGCCTGAGAGAGCGGAAGGAGTGGCCATCCCACCCTGGTTCCTGGCTCAGAGATAACTTTTGCTAATATAAGAAATTTAACTTATGGATGCAGCCAATTCTTGACACTTGGAGGATGAATGCCCAGTTTGTGGATGATTTAGTGCTTTGCTGTTGCTTCAATTTCTTCTTCCTGCCAGCCTTTTGGCCACTTCACTGCCCAATTAACTTCTCTACCAGAAGATAAAAAGAAGGGAAATGAGGTGGAACTGTGAGAGGTCCATTTTCAATTTCCTACTGCCTCCAGCTAAAGATTTAGTAGTGCAGGCTTGGAGACTGATAGCAAGGCAGAGTTCTAATCAAGCAGAGCAGCCTGGTGTCACCGAGAGCGTCCAGGCTCTGAAGACAGACAGACTTGGATCCACTACTTATTAACAGAGCAGGTTACTTAACTTCCTTAGACCTTAATTTCTTCATCTTTATGACAATTAACTTCAACATGTGGTATATCTGTGTGAGGATTCCTGATAATGTATGCAAAGCATTTAGCACAGGACCTACTCTAGCTGGTCAACAACACAGCCGATATCATCAATATGATGGTACCGTTTTATCCTCCCAATGCCATAAAAAACTAAGGTTTCTACACATTATAACTGTAGCAAAACTTAATATCCACTCAGAGCTTTTCTTCAAAATAAAGAATTCAACAAGGCAAGTAGACTTGTTCCATTTTATAGATCATAAGGCATGCGGATTAAATGAGTTACACAGCTAATGCTGGATCCACAGAAAAAATACAAATCCCATTTGTTACTCTATACCCAGGCAACGAACCCTCAAAGATATTTAGGAAAAGGTTCCAGAGATGTGAAGCATCCTGGCTACAGTCTTAGCCAAGAATGGGATTTCAGGAGCTCAGATGCCTGATCTTCCTCCTGTCAGAGCCAAGTGCAAGTGGCAGCCAGGCTTGTCTGCAAAATGCTGTTATACCTGAGAGGTCTCTAAGCCATGGTTTTCACACCAGAATCTTAGATGAAACAAGTATTCAGTTAAAGTTACATTTCCTCACTAACTTTCCTACCCTAACCCAAATCTCACCAATTTATTAGACTTATAATTTGCTTTTTGTATATTCTTTCTTCCTTTGTGCTGTTTGGTTGACAAATATCATTCTGAGAAGAGCTGTGAAATGCTAAGAGGCTAAGTACTTAACAGTTGGTTAGCCATGGTCCTGATCAAGTACACAACCCAGCTCTCTGGAACCTGAGGGTGGAAGGGAGAGAAGTGCTGGGATGATGTTCCTGTGGGCAGTCACGCTGGGGGCTGGGCACAAGTGCAACCACTGCAGCTACAGGAAACAGAAAGCAAATTCCAAGAAAATTCTCCCAACTCAGGTCTGCTCTGAAGCTGCCCTTCCAGCATGGACACAAGTCTAGTGGCTCTTGGCCAAAGCATTGCTTACAAAGCACCTAAATCAAGGCTACTAAGTCCCATACTCTTTTCTATCTTTCAGTATTCAGAGTATTTATCTGCATTTCCCTTTATAATACAACCGCGGATGGGACAGGGCTGAGGGCAATTACTGCTAACCGTAGGGGATGACAGAAGTGCCTGAAAGGACAGGAGGCCATATCTGATTCTCTAGGGAAAGAACTTGGTTTGAAATCTTTCAAAGAATATTATTACTTTATAAAAGTGAAACCTATCGCTCTCATAATATGACATAGGCACAAGTTAAAAAGAACTGTTCTTCAGATTCCCACAAACAGAAATCTGCTTTGGCCAGAACAAAAACATGCTTGAACCCATTGCCTAGATTTTTATCAAAATAATTTAAGACATGGTTTTTGGCAGGGGTTTTTGTCAGAAAGAAAAAGTCTCAATTAAGTGCTAATCTGTCTTAAATATATCTTCTCAATACCAGCTAATATTTAAAAAAAAAAAAAAAAAAAGAGTGTATGCCAGGTTCAGGGTTACAATCAATACGGGAAGGGGCAGAGTGTCACGTGGGAGAACTGGATGGACCTTCAGGGTGCAGAGTGAAGATCTGAAAGCAGGAATTTGGAATCTTCTCTAGCCAGTTAGACAGCTGACTCTAATATTTCAAGGCAAGAGAATGCCTGGGCTTTTTCCTGACCTGGTGAGGGGTGAGCTCAGCACCAGTATTCACATCTACCAGCTGGAAGAACAAAGCAAAGTTCTGGTGGCTGTCTGCGATGAATGTGCCCTTGGCCTTGGCCGGGTAGGTCACCCTGAAAGAGATATTTATACAGTAAATTTATAGAAAGGATTTGCACATGTCTAAGAACACAGTAAAGAATGCAAACTTCACTTCGTTTTCTAACTTCCCTCTCTCATTGTTGTGGACAGACATGGAGAATGGTCTGTGACCTGAGGGTTAATTGGACTGATAAAACCAGGAACGAGAAAAGCACAGAATAAATTTTTAGCAGGGTCTGGAGAAATGCTATGTTATGTGTCCAGGCTTTCTTTCACTTCAAGGACCTAAGGACGTCAACCAAGTCAGGCTCGGATCCTGGCCACCTGCATCGCCTGTCAAATATGGCCCTCCAAAGTTAGGACCTATGAAAAGGCTGACAAATGGGCTGAACCCTGATCAATTACTAATGGTTATGTAGAAGGCTGTGTTAAAAAAGATTCTGAGTTCAGCAGGAACAAATGCTGTGACTAATCAATGATGTTTTTCATGAACTTGAGAAAGGGTATCATATCCCTGCTGCTAGGTATGTGCCATCTCAATTCTAATAACCTATGATGCTTCCAACATTTTCCAGACATACTGTGGGCCAAAGAGAGTTGTCATGAGGCCACTCAAAGCAACTTCAGGACTGTAAAGACAAAGAGATTACACCAGAATATAAATTAATATACCACTTCCTTCACTGAGAACGTATTTCTTTTAAAAATCATCATCTTAACTAAATAATGTGCTTCGTGATGTAGCTGACTCAGACTTACTCCTTATTTCATGGACTGGTTTACTTAGAGACTGACAGCTGGTACAGGTATCTCCCCAAACTGCTTGGATGCCAAGCAGCACCCCTGGTGTGTCAGAACTATAGCCTCTTTAAGTTGAAGTGCAAGCTGGATCACTGATGACAGAAATGACATCTAGAGGAGCTCAGTTCAAGCCTGAGCTCTCCTGTGCTCAGGAGGCATCCCACGTACCGTGTGGTTTTGGGTGCTATACTCTGATCCTTATCCACAGTGGAGAGATCAACATTTGTGATGCCAACTTCAGTGGAAATCTTGACCCTGAGCTAGAGTGAAACACAGAAGAAAATTGCCAAGTCAACAGGTAGATATGTCAGGAATGAACACACATATCCAAACTATGAACCAGGAGGTCACGTTTCAATTCCAGGTCTTTTCTTATGTCCTTTAAAATAAATAAGGGGGGAAATCCTTAAGCAGTACCCTTCAAATCATTTAAATCAAAATCAACAGGTACTCACTTCTAATGAAAGCTAACTATTGAGTGTTAAAGACACTGACTTTACAAAGACTATCTCTTTAATCCTCACAACTCTGTAAGGCAGTGCTATTTCAGATGGGGAAATTGAATCCATGTTAGGCACCTTGCTATCCAGCTTCCTAGCAACACTTATTACTCTGTGCCAAGCAGACTAAGTATACCCAGGGAGACCTAAGAAGCCATGGCAGCCATCTGTACTGTTGATCAAGTACTTCTGGTTCTCCTGAGCATATGGTAGAATTGAATTTTTCTGCCCCCCCACCCTGGAGTAAAGCATAGCCATGTGACTTGCTTTGGCCAATGAAATGTGAGCAAAAGTGATGTGTGTCACTTCCAAGTGAAAACTTTAAGAGTCAGTGTGTAATTCTTTTTTCCTCTGACAAGAGCAATGTACAGAGAAATGTTTTCTCTTTCAGCTTGGGTCCCAGAATAAGGAAAACATGAAGCAGAGCCTCCAGTTGACAGATCAAACAACTAGCTTGGGCCAAAAAGAAATTCTTGTTTTAAGCCAGTGTTTGCCAACCTTTTGGTCCACAGACCACCGGTTGGCGACCGCTGCTCCAAATATTTCCTTAAACCAGCGGTTGCCAACCTTTGGACCTCACAGACCACCACTGGTCCACGAACACAGGTTGGTGACCGCTGTTTTAAGCCACCGAAATTTTAGTGTTTATTATAAGCACAAACCAGTCCGTCTTGACTCTTACCATGTTAGAATTCTACACTCAGTGTATCCTATATAATAAAAGGCTAATATACAAACTGTCCCCTCGACCAGGAGCTCCACCAGCAGGCAGGCTGGCCAACCACCTATGTCCCCACCTACTGGCCAGGCTGGCAGGAGCCCACCCATGTACAAATTCATGCACCAGGCCCCCCCCCCCGCCACACACACACATTGAATGGCAAGATTATTTTGCAGTCAGAGATCATAATAATCTGGCCACTCAGTGTATACATTCCTTATAAACATCTTCACAAAGAGGAGCTCACTGATGCCAGTACACAAATTTAAAAAATTAAAATATAAAATTCCAAAAAAGTTTGAAAATATGCTGTCTATTCATGAAGAACTTTTTATTTAAAATCTAAATTCGAATGTGCAAATTATGCAAACACACCAAAGGCACTTATGTGCAAACATCTGTGAGACTTCCAAATATTTGATAAGCCTGAATGCAATACTTAAGGAAATCTTTGCCAAAATCTACTGGTTTATAGTCTAAGTCAGGATCAAGGAATAGAGATAGAGGACTGGATAAATAAATGAAGGATAGCTTCAGCATTTTTCTAAAATGTACTATCAAGGTGTGACAGACTCAAATCAAGGACAAACAAGAAAAATTTAAAAAGAATAAAGATACTATCAAGTAATTCCTTTTAACAGCCTACTCTTCTGCCATCATAATAATTATTTTGTGACAAGAGCCTGCATTATAGGGTTGAATAGGAGTGTTCTGTTTTGCTTAAAAAAAAAAAAATCTGAATGGAAAGATTTATTATCAGAAGCTGTAAGGCTATTACCTATTTTTTGAATACAGAGCCACCTATTGGCAGAATTATATTTAGTATCACTGCTTGTCACTGAATCTAGGCAATGGGTGACTGAGGCAGTATGGGAAAACAGTTGGCCTTTACTTTGAATAAAACCCCAAGGACAGAGTTGGGAGTCTCTACTTTGATTCTTTGGGCTCTCTGCTGAGCAAAAAGCTTCTCATACTGGGCTCAGAAATAGTAGGCTCTCTTTCTATATAAAGCTCAACCCAGAGACAAACTGACACTACTTCCATTTGAAAATAACTGGAGTGGAAGATTCATTTGGAGCACCTAGGCACAGGGGATATACAGAGAGGGCAAGATATACTCCCTGTCCTAAAGGGAAGCATATATGCAAAGCTAAATTATAAGAGACCAGGCTGCTTTAATGGAAGGATTAACAAAGTGCTACAAAAGCACAGAAGGACCATGACTCAAGTTGGCCTTGGGGTATCCCTGGCTGGGAAGTAGAAAATGTAAGGAAGAAGTTGTTTAGTAATACCCCATACTATTTAAAAAAAAAAAAAAAAAAAAGCCGAAACTGGTTTAGCTCAGTGGGTAGAGCGTCAGCCTGCAGACTGAAAGGTCCTAGATTCGATTCCAGTCAAGGGCATGTACCTTGGTTGCGGGCACATCCCCAGTAAGGGGTGTGCAGGAGGCAGCTAGTCAGTGTCTCTCTCTCATCGATGTTTCTAACTCTCTCTCCCTCTTTCTTCCTCTCTGTAAAAAATCAATAAAAATATTTAAAATAATAATAATAATCTGTCTTCAGTAATTACTCTGCAATCTTCATCAATATTAAATAAGTCCCTCTTCATGCCAGTGACTCATTCTCTTAAGGATTTAAGTGAGTATATGCCCTTGAGTGGAATCGAACCCGGGACCCTTTAGTCTGGGCCAATGCTCTATCCACTGAGCCAAACTGGTTAGGGCTACCTTCTTCTTTATAAATGTTTTTGTATCAAAAGTACCACCACCATCCCAAAAGTACCACCCAATATATATGATTTTAAAAACAATTACTCTCTTTTTCCGCAGGATGTACACAAACTGATGTTTAAAGACTTGTGTAAGGCTCTTCAATGTAGTGACAAGGAAGCCATCAGTTTTTTGCTTAGACTCCCGACTATAAACTTACAACAATAAGATGATCACTAAAGCCTACTAATCAAGATTCAATTGTGTTTGTTCTAAGAATATTAGTATTCCCAGACAATACAGACACACGAATGACAAAAGGGCAAACTGCGGTGAACTCAAGCCAACTGGGGTTTGCTCTCAGCCCTAATTTTATTTTATTTTTAAAATATATTTTATTGATTTTTTACAGAGAGGAAGGAAGAGAGATAGAGAGTTAGAAACATCGATCAGCTGCCTCCTACACACCCCCTCCTGGGGATGTGCCGGCAACCAAGATACATGCCCTTGATCAGAATCGGACCTGGGACCCCCGAGTCCACAGGCCAACGCTCTATCACTGAACCAAACCGGTTTCAGCTTAGCCCTAATTTTAAAAGGCACCCTAAGTTGCAGCTTTCTTTATTTTACATAAATACTCTAGGGCAGTTCTTAAATAGGTAAGTTTTTGAAAAGTCCTTCTATTCCTAAAATATTACTACAAATGGGTCTCTGAAAACATTGAAAAGAAAAGCATTTTTATGCTACTCTTTTAAAGCAAATTGAGAAATAAAAACCATCATAGCTTTTTTCAAAGCCTGTTATAAAGGGTTCTGAATAGGATACTTGTTGGTTAGCTTCTTCTCCTTTAACAAACCACTGCAAGATTAGTTTTTATAAGAGGGAGAGGATTTGGTTAGCAGCTAAACCTGTTTTACGGTGAATCACGTTAAGTCCTTTCTTTGGCTGTGCTGCATGCCACATACACATCAAAAAATGTTTTAACTCCAGGAAATGCGGTCTTTATGCTGATAATAACCCCTCTGTTTAGCTCATTATTGTCAAAATTGATGGTGCATTAGGGGCAATTAATGCTAAAGACAGTTCTAAAACCAATGCTTCCTCTGACAGCAAGTCCAATGTCAGTGAGTGCTATTACAAGCCTTTCACATCAAACCACTGTAAATGCACTCTGACCAATGTCAAGCATCCCTCAGAAGAGTAAATAGGACTTGCTGGCACACTCTAAGGCTGTAAGTGTGACTATTACTGAAATTACAAAGTAAAGTCACCTATGCAACAGAAGTCAGAGCATGCACATACACACACAAAATAGGCACATAAAAAGCTCTAATGTAATAAAAAGGGAAAGAGGAGACTTTAAATGTTTACCCCATCCCTGTGAAGTAAAAGGACAGCTATGGCCTCGATGGGGGCTTATTTCATTGTACGAATAACAGCTATTAACGATTCTATTTCTGCTGTTTTGTACTTCAATAATTTTCCCAACAACCACAGAAACAGTTGGACAAACATCAAATTTGATGTTTGTACAAAATACCAAGCTGTCACAGTAATCAAGACAGAACGGTATTAGTGGTATAAGGATAAAAATACAGGCTCATGAAACCGAAGTGCAAGTTTAGAAATTAACTTTTATATTTATGGTCAACTGATTTTTGACAAGGATTCCAAGTCAGCTTAATAGGAAAAGAAAAGTCCTTTCAACAACTGGTGCTGGGACAACTGGCTATCCACATCCAAAAGAAGGAAGTTAGACCCATACCTCAGACCATACATAAAAATTAATTCAAAATGGATCAGAAACCTAAATGTGAGAGCTCAAACTACAAAATTCTTATAAGAAAACAGAAGTAAATCTTCATGACCTTGCATTAAGCAATGTTTCTTAGGTATAACATTTAAAGCACAAGCAGTGAAGGAAAAATAAAGAAATTGGACTTCATCCAAATTAAAGTTCTTCATGCTTCAAAGGAAACAAGGGAAAAGAGGGCCTACAGGCTGTGAGACAGTATTTGCAAATCATATATCTCATAAGAGACTTGTACCAGATTATAAAAAGAAGTGCTGCAGCATGTAATAGTTCATGGGCACCATGAGGTGAAAAATGTTGAAAACCAATGCTAGATAAACAAGACATGCATAAGGAAATATGTACTAAGATGTTCACAGAAGCATTGTTTGTAATAGTGAAAATTTAAACCTCCAACAATAAGAAAATAAATTAATAAAATCTGATTCACAAAATGATTACTTTTATAATTATCCATATTTATGCATATACCTCTACATGTATAAATATGGCTGTCATAAAATTAATATTGAGTGAAAACAAGCAAATTGCAAATGGAACACATAGTGTAATGCAATATATACATTTGGAAACGATGCAAATCAATACATTATATTGTTTAAAAATACATACTTTAGCCCTAGCTGATTTGGCTCAATGGATAGAGCATCTGCTTGCAGACTGAAAGGCCCCAGGTAAGATTCCAGTCAAGGGCACATGCCTAGGTTGCAAGCTCGATCCTCAGTAGGGGCATGCAGGAGGCAGCTGGTCAATGATTATCTCTCACCATTGATATTTCTATCTCTCTCCCCCTCACCCTTCTTCTCTGAAATAAATAAAAATATATTTTAAAATGAAATAAATAAATAAAAATACATACTCTACATGTAACAGAAATGTAAAAACTGGCATTAGAACAATAAGCCCCAAATCTGGGGATAAAGAGAAGAAAAAGTGTTTGAGAAATACAGAGAGCTTGAATTTAATCCATAGGGGTTTTATTTCTTCCCCCCAAATGGAGCAAATACAGCAAAATATTAGGGTTTGAAAAAGATGCTTAGCTGGAAGTACATGAGGATTAATTGTATTATTCCCTGCTCCTTTCTGTGTATTTAAAATAGTGCATACTGAAAAATAAAATTAAGTTCTATGGAAGCATGATGAAGGGGCAACATTCGCACCAAACCAGAATGAGTAGTTTGCATGTGAGCAAGGACAGGGAAGAGTACAAGAGAGGGAGGAAACGAGAGAATTCCAAAGGCATGAGCTACTTGGGGGTCAGTATGCAGGCAAAAGCAGCTAGAGCTGAGACGATGGGGATGCACCCACACTGAACTATGTGCATGTGCCTGTTGAAGACCTTCTAAGTCATACTGAAGAGTCTAGACCTCACTCACAGACAACGGGAACCAATGAAATGTTTAAGCAGAAGAAAAATGTGATTTTGCCATTCCAGTGGCACTTATGGAAAATTAAATGAAAGGACAGAAATCAACGACGATGTAACTAGTTAGAAACTATCTCATCAGTCTATATATAGAATATAGGGTTCTACCTGACTAGGAACACTGCAACTTAAGTCATGCAAAGGCCACTCAAAGGTGGAATCAACAGACTTGGTGACTGACCAGAAGTCAAAGTGGAAAGAAAGGAAGAGGTTAAGAATGACTGTGATGTACAGGTATGGCACTTAAACTGCATATGTTATTATCAAGATTGTAAATGTAGAAGAGGTTACAATAAGAAAGAAAAGAAAAATTGCCTTTTAATGTGTTCAGTTGCAAATAGGGCCCCTTAAGGAAGGATGCAAAAATGGAAAGAATCTAGATTTTAAATGTTAAAGGTACACACTACAATAGTTCCTATCCAAATTTTATGTTAGTGAATGGACTAAGATCGAATGCCTCATGCCCGAAAAGGTCAGGCATGAAGTTGAGAAAAGGCAGAGACTAGAGTTCCATAAAAATATCTTCCTTTCTGCCAAACTTTAAATATAAGTGTGTAATCTACCTATGTTAAGTAATGCCCCACTTTTGAAAGGTCAAACTTTCCAGTTGTCTTGTCCTCCATTTAAAAAAAGGTGAGTAAGACAGAAGCCAACCTGAGAAGCTCTCCAAAGACCAAATGTGGGATATGAGCAAAACAATAAATGATAGTAGAGCACCATAATCTACAGAGTAAAATAAATATTCATGAGTCCAAAGTGTTATAAATAAATGAATGAATAATTAAATTGGAGTGGGATGAGGCATCATTTTTTTTTTTTTTTTAACCATAGAATTCCAATGAATAAATGTAGAAGAAATGAAAGGGAAAAAAAAAATCACCTTTTGGCAAGAATACCTGGTCAGGGCACATGTTGGGGTTATGGGCTCAATCCCCAGGAGAGGGTGTGCAGGAGGCAGTGATCTTGATGACTCTCTCATCATTGATATTTCTCTCTCTTTCTCTCCCCCTCCCTTCCTCTATCATAAATCAATAATTTTTTTTTAAAAAAAGAACCAGAGCTTTTAAGAAATACATTTAATGAAGAAAAAAGTGAGTAGAAAATGATATTTGATAGTGAAGAAAAGAGTTGTCACAAACACAATAAATTTAACTATTCAGGAAAGGTACAGTACTACTCCAAGTTCCTCTGACCCAACAGATTGCATGACAATGTAGTTGAGTAGAAGCAGCAAAGAATAGGGGCAGAAACATTGAGGAATTACACTTAAAAGGACAGTTGCTGGAGCTGCACAGGGCTCAGCCTCTAGACTAGCTCTCTATCTACCAGGTCACACTAACTAACCTGGTACTGTAAAGGAGATCCACCCAAGTATAAGTTGGATGTCCTTGGACAAGTTATTCTACCCCTTGAGCCTCATCTTTGAAATAAAGATGACTCCATCCATCACCAATGGTTGTCCTAAAAATAACATAATATACAAAGAAGTACCTAGAACTGTACTTCTCATGTCACACGCATTCAATAAAGGATTCATACACATGATCCTAATTCAGAGTAAGAAAAGGCTAACCCATATACCATAGTATAAGAAAGTAGGAAAATGCGCCAAAACCGGTTTTGCTCAATGGATAGAGCGTCGGCTTGGGGACTGAAGGGACCCGGGTTCGATTCCGGTCAAGGGCATGTACCTTGGTTGCGGGCATATCCCCAGTAAGGGGTGTGCAAGAGGCAGCTGATCGATGACTCTCATCGATGTTTCTAGCTCTCTATCTCTCTCCCTTCCTCTCTGTACAAAATCAATAAAATATATTTTAAAAAAAAGCAGGAAAATGCATAATTGATTGTAAATGTCTATCCAAAAAGGTTAAAATGAAAGCCACAGTGCCTAAAGGGGTAAACTTAATTAGCTAAGAAAGCCATTAATGTGAAATACCTCATACCCACAAAGCATTAGATAAATGAAGCATAGCTTTCCATCCCTAAAACCACTTGGATCTTCAAATAGAGTCAGATAAACATCTGAAGCATATTTGTAATAATAAAAGTGTAATATGCTAATTAGACCAGTCAACTTTCTGGATGAAGCCAAGTCTGCAAGGGCCAAAGCAAGCCACCGCAGCTGCCAGGGCAGAGCTCCTTGCACAAATTTCATGCTTTGGGCCTCTTGTTTCAATATAAAAGATTACCAATTTTGCCCAAGCCAGTTTGTTCAGTGGTTAGAACATTGTACTATGGAATGAAGGGCCTCAGGTTCAATTCTAGTCAAGGGCACGTACTTCGGTTGCAGGCACAAGCAGGAAGCAACCAATCTATGTGTCTCTCTCACATGGATGTTTCTCTCTGTGTCTCTTCCCCTCCCTTCCACTCTCTCTAAAAAATCAATGGAAAAATATCCTCGAGTGAAGATAACAACAACAAAAAATTACCAATTTTCTGTTGTACTTCACCCAGAGAGCTCACTACAGTGCTATCTATCACTTGATAATTTTCATTGCCCAATTAGCATCAAGTACTGTTCTAATTCTATCAAGGCCCACCACATAAAACATTTTAAGAATACTTATGCCTCAGTGGAGTTATGGGTGATTTTTCTTTTTCTTACTTCCCAATTTTGTGTACATTTTTAGTAAGTTAAATGGAAAATGAATTAATTTATAAATAAAAGAAAACTTGCTATAATCATGTTCTTGGCTAGTTCTAATAGTGTATTTCAAACCTATCCCTCTTTTAATATACTCACATTAACATGACCTTAAAGTGAAGTTAACATACCAGACAAGCAATGCCGTGTGCCTACTCAGTCATTTCTTTGGATATATACACATGGCAACTGGAATGACAAGAAAAGCACTTACCTCTAAACTATTTGCAATATAACGATTGTCACCTTCAACTTTGATAGAGAAGTCATAATAACCACTGGACAACTTGGCATTCACAAAGTTTAGTTCAAAAATATTCCTGTTAAGAATGACAGCGGGGTTAGCAAACACACGGGAAAGTCATAAATACAACAAATGGGCTGCAAAGAGAGGCAGTCCTTGAGACAGTCCAAGGCTACACATTTTTTTGTTGTTGTTATTGTTAATCCTCACCTGCGGCTATTTTTTTCTATTGATTTTTAGAAGAAGGAATGAGGGAGGGAGGAAGGAAGAGAGAAGGAAAGAAACATCTATGTAAGAGAGACACATCAATTGGTTACATCTTGCACATGCCCAGACAGACTGGGGATCAAACCTGTAACCCACAGTAAGTGCCCTTGATGCATGGGACAACATTCTAACCCCTGACCAATAGAGTCAGGGCCCAGGACTACACCACTTCTTCCCTTTGGATTATAACGTGAGAAAAACTTTAAAAACAATTTAAAAATCAACTCTTTCAAAAAAATCCCCTCTTTGGGGTACAGCCTTTCACAATGAAATGCCAAACTGGCGAATCTACAATATGATCCCCATTATGTTAAAAAAAGAAAAAGAGTGAATTATTAACTCTAACTACATAGCAAAATCCTCAGTCTTTTACTATTCCACTGATCATCCCTAAAAATGACTTTGCTTTTTTATTTCACATATAGCCTATATATCTTTATCACTAAGAATTGCATTTTCTAAAACTCAAAGTTCCTGATCTCATTAACTTACTAATTTAGCATTTAACAAAGTTTCACATAAAATTGACCTTTAATTTTTAGAAATTTACATAACAATATGTAGCCATTAAATATAAGGCTATAAAAGAATATTTAATCCTACTGGGGAAATGGTCATGACACATTGTTTCAGATAAAGCACAATCTTAATTCAATTTTTAAAATCTATTTATATGCATAGAAAAAAGCCTAAAGAAGAAGATAGCAAAATGTTAATAGCAATTATCTCTAAGTTGTACAATTATGGGTGACTTATATTTTCTTTTTTGTGCTTTTTCATATTTCTTCCTATAATAAACATGTATTATTCACACATCAGGAAAAAAATATTAAATTTAAAACTGGCCAGTTATATAAGAAAAAACTCAAAGTTCCTGATCTCATTAACTTACTAATTTAACGGATAATCCCTAAAAATAACTTTGCACAGAGAGAGTTCCTAGGCATGGCAGGCGATCAGGACTGATAGGAGCCTTCTGGCTGTCGGCCAACTATCGGGGCCTCCCCTGACTGCCATTTGGGGCCTTCCTTTCCTTTGTTCTTTGCTGCCCTCTGGTGTTCAGTGTACATCATAGAGAGCGATCGAACTTCTGGTCTCCCTAACTCCTGAGGGGACAATTTGCATATTAAGCACACACACACTAAAGCCTGGTGTATGAAATTCATGCATAGAGTGGGGTCCTCTCAGCCCAGCCTGCACCCTCTCCAATCCAGAAATGTCTCCTCGGGAAATGTCTGACTGCTAGTTTTGGTTTCAATCAAGGAATTGGTCCTAACCGACAGTCAGACATCCCTCTTCCAATCCAGGACTGCTGGCTCCTCACTGCTCACCTGCCTGCCTGATCACCCCTAACTGACACCCTGCCGGCCTGGTCGCCCACAACTACCCCCTCCCCCCCTGCCCACCTCGCCGGTCTGGTTGCCACTCACTGCCTCTGCTGACCTGGTTGCCACCAACTGCCCCCCTGCCGACCTGGTTGCCCCTCACTGCCTCCCTCTGCCCCTCCCTGCCCCCTCAACCCCCGCCGGCCTGGTTACCCCACACTGCCTGTTGTTTGGTTGTCCCTCACTAATCCCCCTGCCAGCCTGGTCACCCCATGCAGCCTGCTGTTCAGTCGTTTGCATATTACCCTTTTATTAGTATAGATATAGATGACACAGGATTTTGATACCAGTAGGTCAAATTTACCTAACCAAAGTTCAGGTAAATTTGGTTTTATGATCTTTGTAATAGCAGCATTAATCTGGATTATTTTTGCTGCAAGCTACTTTCCAAACAAGTTTATTGGTGCACTGATAAAAATATGCTCAGAACTTACCCTACAGGGGTGAAAGAGGTCTTCTGGAGGACAGTGGCTCTGGAAGCAACGGATTTAGCATGTTCTAGTTTAACAGTGGCCTGAGTCAGAGGCTGGGATAGAACATTGGTGACCTGTAACTGGAAACAAATTTAAAAATTATCTGGAGCAACCAAGGCGGAGGGAACACAGAATTTTGTTCTGGGGTGCTTTACCTAAACGGAGTGAGCTCTGCAGAAGAAACACCTTATTTTAAAAAATCTTTACTGACCTTTGGTCTATTGTCTATCAGAGATCAAATACAGAAAAATACAATTATATTGGGAATGGGATAGATTATAGAATGTTAGAGATGGCAGAATCTTAAAGATGATGTTGCCCAATGATCTCATTTTTCAAATAAGCAAACTAGAGGCCAGAGAAAGGGAACGACTGACCCCAGAACACACAGTTATCTTCTTTCTGTTCCCTGTTCTATCCACTGTACCAGAATATATTTTTTAAAAAATATTAGCAAGAAAAATATTTCAGGAAAGTATTGGCAATGAGAAAATTAAAGAAATATAGATAAAAATAATTATCACTTGATGAAAGTCAACTATTTGGCAGATACAAAACAAGGTCTTTTATCTTCCCATCAATTATCAGAAATAGATAGCTTAATCTCTATTTTAGAGATGAAGAAACTTGAGGCCACAAAAGGTTAAGGGACTGCCAAAGGCGGAATTGCCAGTTAAATGATATATAGGACAGAGATTTTCAACCTTTTTCATTTCATGGTACACTAAACTAATTACTAAAATTAGTAATCCTGACAAAGGAATTAGTATAATTTTGAATAATTCATACTGGATGAATATTGTAGTATTGGTGGTTGTCCCTTTTTTAAATTTGACAATCTAAAGGAAAAGAGGTCAGTGCTCCTAACTAAATAGTTAGGTAGGTCATGTTTTAAAAATTCTTCTGCACACCAGATGAAAATTGCTGATCTAGGACTCAAACCCAAGCCCAGTTTGCAACTTTTTCTACTTTGCTCTCTTACCACTTCCTGTCTCCTGGTGCACTATGTTAATTAGGTTACTTCTCATTCTAAGTAGGTTGTAAGTAGGGGCAGGAGGGACAATTTTGAAGTACAGAGCACTTCCTCAGGAGAATATTTGCAGGAGCCACCAAAGTAGAACTGATGGGACAGACAAAACTGTCCTATGTGGAACTCCCAAGGTTTAGATATAAAATGCTTCGTGGTTTTTTTTTTACGAAGCTCTAACTTATCAGTGATTTCCAAACAATAGCAACAAAAGGTTCATTTGAGATAAAATCTCTAAGGAAATTCAATAAGGGTGCATTTGCTCTGTTCAGCAAGTTAACACAATAGAGAAGTCTATGGTAACTGCTGAGTGAGAAGGAGGGCCATACAATGAAGAGACAGAAAGATACACTATCAACACCAGGAAGGAAGATACCTGATATTTATTTTAACAACTGTAAGTACCAAAAGTATTCAGGAATTTTAAAATAATGTATTTAGAAAGTTTTGGTGTAAAAAAAAGTATTTAGAAACAAGACTTCTCTATACTTCTCTGGAGTTATGAACCCAGAAATGTAATTTTCTTGTACTTCATTTTTTCAGAGCCTTATTATTAAAAATCCTATAGAAAATAAAAAGGTCTTTTTTTTTTTTTTTTTTTTTTTTAAATAACTCTCAGGGGTTTTCTGACAAGCTCACCCAGTAATCATGTCCCATTTCCAGGCCTTGCTCTACATTACTGGGTAAGTGCTCGTGGGTGACAATAGGCTGTGTAGCAGCCTTTAGATTTCTGAAAGCCTTACACTGGAAATGGCAATCAGGGCAGCATGGAGGTCATACCCGCAGGATGGCCTGTTCATGAGTGTCAGAAGGAGAGCCCTCGGTTACAACCACAACCGGCACGTGGTAGCGATTCTGGGAGAGTGCAGCGGCAGCAGAGGCCACACTGAAGGCTTCTGAGAGTGAGTCAAAGTTCTTCTTGCTGAAGATCGTGTTCATTAGCTGGATGACCTGATCCTGAAAGAAAAGGAAATGCAGCTCGAGATCTTCCTCTGGCAGGAAGGCAGGAGAACCAACTGTCCCACCCACTGGCTCAAGTCATTGCTTCTCTGTTGCTAGGTGTTCACATGGAAGGTCTTTTACCCATTAATCCAAATTGGTAGATGGGGGGAAATTTAATTTAATTTAATTCTTCACTTAAGTTTAAAACTTAGATTTAATTTTATACATTTTCCAGTAGAAACTGAAATTCATGCTTTTATTTGTCAACCATTTATTAAATGTTTACTAGACATATGCAAGGTACCTATAGATAACTACTGAGATATGAAAGTATATTATAAAATACACAAAAAAGTAACCATTTGTTCAATGTCTATACATGCCAGACACTGTTACAGGTGCTTTATGTGCATTAATTCAAATCTTGACAAAAACCTGGGGGGAAAAATTAATATTATCAATGTTTTTCAAATAAGGAAACTGAGTCTAAAGGTGGTTAAGTAACTCCTACAAGTTATAAAGAAAAGACAAGACCAAAATTCACATGTAGGTCTGTTTGTCCCCAAAGTCCTTGCACAATAAAATTCATTCTTTCCTGATTCCTCTCACCCTCCCAGCTAAGCTACCTCCCCTCACAGCCCACCTCTAAGCGGAACATGGCAGCCTAACAGACAAAATATACATTAGAAAGAAACTAAAATAACTCTCCATTAAGAATGAATGGGCTGCTTAGAGGAGAAAACTGAAAGCAATTTTTTAAAAAAGTAGAACCTAAAACGCATTATTAAAATTCTGGAGGTTGTTTACTTAGGAGGAAGAATTTTCCATTTCAATCAGTTTTGTTTTTTAAAATCTACCATCTAACAAAAGAGCTCTCTTGTTCCCAACAGTGTTATTCATAGTCAACATGAAATAATTTTCTTTAATTGACCAATTACATTTTTCCATCACTAGGCTGTTGACATGTTAAAATGGGTGACTGTTCACCAGAACGATTATGTAAAAAGCAGTGACAGCAAAATTACTCCATCCAAATACCTCATTACTAAAAGCTTGGGAATAAAGCAAGAAAAAGTTTAAGTTATATACAAAGAATATCACCAATTTATCTAACATATAGTGCATAAAAAAGTCCTACATGATTTGTATTCTAAGACCCACATTTCAGCACTTTAACTCAAAAACAAAAATTAAACGACATTATGCTATCTCTAGACCTCCTACACTTAGGATGAAGGAAAAGACAGCATAAGAATGCTAATACATGAATAAATGATTAGATCATGTCCTCTGTAGAAAATATGAAATTAATTCAAACTACCCAGGCAAATAATCATTTATTGTTTACTTGAAAAGACTCAGCACAGAACTCCTAGTGCATAAAATAAAGTTCTAACTTGAAACCCCAATCTCTCCTCCTAAAATTAAAACAGTAGCAGCTTATATTTAAGCCCTTTAGACTAAGGGTGGTAATCTCCCCATAAATAAGGAGTACAAAGAGGGCCCTACTCCAAAAGACTTCCCACACACATCCCAACTAAAGGCTCTTTCAGGTTAACAAGCTCCTCTTGAAAAATAAAAAAAAGATTTAACTCTTGGTGAATGTCTGGTAGACACACAAGCCTCTCAATGAACTATATCAACAAAGATTAGCTAAGATTTAGCCATTGCTAAATGAGGGGGAAGGGAGAACAGGCAATTCTAAAGTACAAGGCACTTCTCAAGAGAGAGGATTTACATGGGCCACCAATATGGAAAGCATTCATGAGACAAGTGGGAGTTACCAAGAAGAAAGAGGAGGTGAAACAAGAGTAATACACTTGGCCTTCTTGTCACTACCTCATACGTTCATACATTTGAAGCCAGTGTAACAAACTGTTTACATGTCTATCCCACTGACAACCAGTTTCTTGAGGACAGACATTACACCTTTCTATTTCTCATCCTCAATGCCTAACCCAAGACACTGAGTGACTACATCTAAGGTTATGAACAGCTTTCTCTGAAAAAAGCTATCTGGAGCGGATAAAGTCAACAACCCCTTTGAGATTCACTCCTGAGAATTGTTAGACAGGCACCTCCTTAATGGATGGCTCAGTTCCCACATGGTCCATGAGCTTGTAGGTGGCAGCCACAAATAATGCTGTTGTTTCCAGTCCTTCTTCAAACTGAAGATATACACCTCCCAGTTCATCCAGGCGAGCAACAAGGTCCTGTCACAATAACATGTTGGAAATCAAATGATAACAGACATGAGAGTGCAAACAGTTTTGAGAAATCTCACTCTAAATCTGGAGACCACCTCAGTAACTTAGTATTTTTCAAAAAAAAAAAAAAAAAAAAAAGTTTAGGTGGCGAGTAAAGTATTTTGTAAGGCATTTGAAGAGAACAGTATCTTCTGCGGCTCTATGAGTATACCTTCCCTAACCCATTGTACTCCCAGGAGTCATGATACTGAAGGCACCATCTGCTCTAGGCAGAAGGCCAGTAGGTCAGGCTACCGTGCACCCAGGAAGCATCGTGTCACAGACAGATTCCATGATCATTCATTTGGATACAGCCTACAGGGTTGAACATTTCTCTTTCCTATGCAGTGCTCTAAGGATGGAGAGAGACATACTGCTTTCCTGGGCCACATGATGAGGCAGCTAATGTTTCTCTGGAGCACCTAGTGATGACACTGTCAGGCTGCCTGTCATCACTGACTCTGCAGTCCAGGAGCAGCAGGAGGTTCTGGGCACTGGAAAGCACAGAGTAATAATAATAATAAGAGCCACAATGACCTCTTGATTATGTACTAGGTACTTGAGCACCTCACTTGTTCCTACAACCACCATAAAAGGAAACGGAGGCTCAGACATTAAATAATTTGCCACATAGTAAGTGGCAGAAAAAAATTTAATTTCAGGGTTTTTGGCTCTAAAAACTCTTAGACTATGTAACTATACCTACAAAAGACTGAAAAAGTAATTTTTTGCCTAACTGATGTGGTAACTATACTGGCCGAACAAATACTCCCTAGGACATTGCTGTGATACAAAGAACATAAGTGTGCCAGAAATATGAAAAGAGGTAACTGGCTATAATAAATCATGCATGTCTGTTTGCAAGGCTCTTCTAGAGTTTCAAAGACAGAAGCTGAGAAATTCCTTAGCAAAATAAATTCACACCTCAATCTCTTCCACGATGCTCCTCAGGTCAGCCTGCTGGGACAGGTGAGATGCTGTCTGCAGAGCCTGGACTGTTCTGGAAGGTAAAAAGTAGAACCCAAATGAACGGCAAGTCTCCTTTCATCTACTCAGCCCTTCCTGTACTGTGACATCTTCATAAATATCCTACTCTTACTCTTTAGAAGGATAACAGTCTCAAACTTTAAGGAGCTTGTTTACAATCTTGTTGGGAAAGATGTGACAAAGACCAGTACATTATAAAAATCATTACAGCTAGAAAGAAGACAATCTGCACAATAGGACCCACAAGTAGTACTGTGGGCACAGAAAAGAGAAGGAGCACAGGTTCACCTCCCTCTGAAAATCTATTTTGTTCCTAATGGCATCACATACAGAATAACAAGATAGATTCTTAGGGAGAACAGGATTCATTCAATTTGATCAAGATCAATTTGGCAGAAATCGACTGCCTGTTAATTTTCTACTTTTCTTACTCCAAGACCAAAGAAATATTGTAGACTCTACATATGTAGCTTGCTGGGTAGAATTTGAACAACTTTTCTGAAACCAATATAAGACAACTGTTCAGTAAACATATGTTGAGTAGCTTACTTATACATCTTTTCATAAATACATATAAATGTACTTCATTTTTTAAGTAAGATTTTTTTTTTTTACTAAATTTGAAAGAGAGAAAGAAACATCAATTTGAGAACAAAACAACGATCAGCTGCCTCCTTGCACACCCCCTACAAGGGATTAGAACCAAGCCTACAACTCGGGCATGTGCCCTGACTAGAAAAGAATCAGCAATATTTTGATTGATTGACAACGCCCAACCAACTGAGCTACAACAGTCAGGACAAATATGCTTCATTCTTATTAGCTATAACATGGTATTTCACTGCTTAGATGCACTGTAATTATGTCCAATTGATATACTTAATGTCCAATTACCTAATGTCCAATTGATAAACATTAAGTGTTTTAGTAGGTCATACAATGCCATAATGATAACCCTTACTCATATAGATTTTTTTTAAATCACTGAAGTTCACATAGACATTTGAAAGTGAACAATTCAGTGGCATTTAGTATATTTCACAATGTTATACAATCTCACCACTTCTATCTAGTTCCAAAATATTTCCATTAATCACAATTAAAACCTTGTGCCTATTAAGCATTTTCTCTCTCTCTCTCTCTCTCTCTCTATCTCTCTCTCTCTCTCACACACACACACACACACACACACACACACACTACTCCCACAACCACCAAACTGCGTCTGTCTCTATAGATTTACCTGTTCTGGATATTTCAAATTAGTGAGTCATATAATATATGATCTTTCATGTCTGGCTTCTTTCACTTAGCATGTTTTTAAGGCTCATCCATGTTGTAGCATGTGTTAGTATTTCATTCTCTTTTTTTTTTAATGGCTAATTCATATATTTTAATGCACTTATGAGTATATTTCTAGAAGATAAACTTTTTAAATTAAATTGGGGTGACACTGGTTAATATAATCTTTTTAAGGTAGAATATGGTAGGTAAGTGCACATCAGATTTTTTATTAGATTCTTCTTTTATTACAGATAACTTGGAAAATATAAATGGTGCTTTCTGAGTTGAAGGGAAAAAAGCAGAGGACCCTTGATGGTTAAGCAAATTGCTGCTCAACCTGGGACTGGCTTCCTAATTCCCAAGAGAGGACTGGGCCTTTGTGTAAAAGCACCATTTATTAAGTCAATGTGTTGGGGCATGTACAGTGAGAATTTGTCTGTTTTTATCAAGATCACAATTAAGACTCCCTCCATGAAAAACTAATTATATTAAGATGACAAGTTGGAAAACAGAGGAGTCACAATTCATGGAGAGGGAAACTCCAGATTATTCAACAACTCCTATGGGACGACTGTTGCTATAAAGCATTTGAAAAAATAAAACCTGATTTTCAAACAAGATAAAATCCCATATCTGCCCATGAAAAATGCTGAGCCCAGATAAGGCTGCCAAGATACCCTAAAAAGAATTTTTCAATTAAAATATAATTTTTCTCTTCTTTGGAATAAGTATTATACTGGTAACAACCTCAGAAGTTTCTAGAATGAAATTAATCCACTTAGCATTTGAGAAGTTTTGTCACTGTGTTTAATTACTTATTCCCCAGGAAGCAATTTCTTTCCTTCTGGAGTTCTATATTCAAACACTAAGAAAACAGATCCTGTCTCAGCAGATGAGTCAAAGAAATTGGGTTATGGGAGACCATAATGGCATCTTTTCAGATGGTTTATTGAAACCTACAAATTATTTTCCCCCCATTTTAGACAAGTTTATGATCATTCATTTCCTGGAATATGTCCACTTAAACATAGAGGCCCATTTAGAAGAGTCCTAGTTTATATCAGATTTCATTAAACAGGACAAATTAGTAGTAATATTATACAAGGAATCCTCCTAGTTGGATCTTCACAATAATCCTGTGAGATAGACATTATTTTCTCTGTTTTACAAATAAAAACACTGAGGTTTGGAGGTGTTCAATAGCCTGCTCCTGGTCAGAGTTATTAAGGGTAAGAGCCTGGATTTGAACACAGTTCTGAGTACAAATGTGGGTTCTTCCTACCTGTAAGTTTTCTATAAGAGAATCGAAACACAAAAGTATAGTTTCAACCTTTATTAACTCTTTCTTGGACATCTACCATATGCCAGGCTCTATCAGCACTGCAAATAAAGAAACTTACAATTTAATACATAACTACAATACAACCAAGGAAGTAATAGCTCACCAAGAGGGAAGTGCTCTTGAAGAAAAGGACTTTCATCTGTTGCATGCCCATGGAGAACCAGGTACTGCACTAGGTTTTTCATAGTATCTCATTTAATCCTGATCTTTGTTCTATGATGTAAGAATTACTGGTCTCATTTTATATATGAATTTCTGATAGGTCAGTAACTTGCCCAAAATTACACAGCAAGGAAACAACAGAGCTAGTGTTCAAACTCAAGCATAACTGACTCCAAAATGGATGTATTTTCTTTGTACTTTTTCCTGTTCTGGGGTTTTAGGAGGGAGATTTTCTTTTTTGCTCAGAGAAAAATAGAAAAATTTTTCTATAGAATGTGGCATCAAAGAGAGACACTGATATCATGGAAGGAGATGGTGGGGATTGAGAAGACATTTCACAAGGAATTATGATATCAAAATAATGTAATCTGAAACCAAAGGACCACAAGGACCAAGCACTGGGCAAAATGTGTACAAATTGTGTACTGTGCCCTGGCCAAGCCTCAGCTCTGGGAAAAGGATTAGAAAAGGACCGTTGGTGGTTAAGCAAACTGCTGCTCAACCTCCTAAGTTACTGACTTAGAAACATTCTCGTTTTTAGCAAGATAATAATAACTTTAATAATAATAATAATAAAGCACACACACAAATATACTTGGAAAACAAACTATTCTGCAATAGGGAATTTGTGTCACAACCTCTTGCTAAATAGGAGTCCAGGTGTCCTACTCTCTTTTAGGAGTTGCATTAAATGGGGAACAGAGAAAACAAAAAATATATATATATACTGTTTTAAATGAAGAGCTTAAGTGTTTTAAAAACCTATATATACTATCACTTTTAAGTTTAGTAAATATCGTAAGTCAGTTACAATGTTTAAATTTATAATAAACAGGAAAGCTGCCCAAAGTTCTTTTTCCATCAGGTGCTTCTGTTTCACCTGCCTTTTGGAAACAGAATCATGTATAGAATACTCCCCCCTCTGAGCACCCACTTTCCCACCAGGTGATAGACAGCACAGGATCCCATAAGCCCTCCCTCAGGGCAGAGCCTCCACTGCCGACAGCTCACTGTGCCCTGGCCAAGCCTCAGCAAGAACAAGAGATGCGATGCACCCATGTGGCTCACTGGCCTTGCTCTCCACTCTCCCCATCACCCCCTACACTTGCTTCAGCCTTTAATTTCAAAGGCAACTTTGTCTCTATGTGGCAGTGTGCTTATGCTGACTCAGTACTTGCCTTTTGCCTGAGCAGCTTGGAGAAGACTGTGTCGAGGTGAGCTGCATGAGGACAGGAACCTTACCTGTCTTAGTGTACTAGTACACCTACCAGAGCACCTGACACAACAGTAGATGCCCAGAAAATATTTGTTGAACCAATGGATGGATCCTCTCAGCATAGTATCCAACACAAATGAAGCCTGAGAAATACTTGAGATGATGACTCACGCCAGCACGGTCTCTTCCTTGCCGAGGCGAGCGGTAAGGGCACTCAGGGCTTCTTGGGAAGCCAAGGGAAGGCCAAAGCCACTTAGGGCTGCAACTGCATGGTAGATCTGGGTAACAGACGAGTCTTCACTCACAGCTGCCAGAAGCAGGTCTTTGGTCTCGTTTGAAATAGAGATCTAAGAAAGGATTGGCAGACACAGAGTTTTAGAACAGTGCTGACAATGAGTGGCACATATGCCAAAGATGGCACACAGAGCGACTGCCAAAGTCACACCACCCACCTGGCACGTGATCAGTCCCCCTTGACTACCAGATAGCAGAATTAAATGTTTGTCCAGAACATCTGGAATGATGTCTAGAATGATGTCTGGTCTAATTAGTATAGTACCTTTTATTATTATAGAAGGTACGCACGCACACACACACATATCTGACATGACCCTCCTTCTTTAAAAATAAACTTTATAATTAAGATAGATAAAAATCTAGGAAGCTGGACTCACCTCACAACCTGCGAGGACCTGGCTGGCCTGGGCAGCGTAGAACAGGGAATCCACATTGCTGGGATCAAGGTTTGATTTAATGAAGGTGCATGCTTTCTAAAAAGGGGAGAAAGTCAGTAAGTGGTGATATATAAGTGAGTGGGAAAAGCATCCATGTTTTTCAGATGACAAAATTCAAAGTAATCTATGATGGCTTAAAGTATGAGTTACACAAGATTTCATTTTTTAAGTGCTTACTTTCCATAGTACACTATATTATCCCAAATTGCTGACTTCAAAAAAGGAGTGACAAACTCTATTCCTTGTGAATCCTAGAAAGGACAGAAAGAAACCTCTTCCATTAATCACCTGCTCTGGTTATGACTTATGCTGGGTGTTTATGATGCTCTTCCTTTTAATAAACATAAGGGCTCTGTGATAGTATCATCCCCTTTAACAGAAAAAGAAACTGAGGCCTGGAATTGGTAAGTAATCTGATGAAGGCAAAAGAGCTAATAAGTGGCCAAAACTGGTTTGGCTCAGTGGGTAGAGCGTCGGCCTGCGGACTGAAAGGTCCCAGGTTTGATTCCGGTCAAGGGCATGTACCTTGGTTGGGGGCACATCCCCAGTAGGGAATGTGCAAGAGGCAGCTGATCAATGATTCTCTCTCATCGATGTTTCTTTTTTCTTTTTCTTTTTCTTTTTAATATATTTTATTGATTTTTTGTACAGAGAGGAAGGGAGAGAGATAGAGAGTCAGAAACATCGATGAGAAAGAGTCATCGATCAGCTGCCTCTTGCACACCCCCTACTGGGGATATGCCCGCAACCAGGGTACATGCCCTTGATTGGAATCGAACCCGGGACCCTTCAGTCCCCAAGCCGACGCTCTATCCATTGAGCCAAACCAGTCCCAGCTCTCATCGATGTTTCTAACTCTCTATACCTCTCTCTTCCTCCCTGTAAAAAAATCAATAAAATATATTTTAAAAAAGGAAAGAAAGAAAGAGCTAATAAATGGCAGAGTGGATCCTTTGATTCCAACTGTACTGGAATCTCTACTTAGATGTCTACAAAGCTAAGTCAAGTTGAACATACCTAAAATGAGCTTGAAACCTTCTATTTCTTCACCTGGACTTTCCAGCTCATGTATGGGCATCACTATGCACCCAATTACCTAGAGCAGAAACCTGAGACTCAGTCTTGGACTTTTCCCTTACCTCCCAGTCTATGGAGTCTATCTCCTCTTTGTTTCCCAAACCCAATCCCCACCCTCTGGTTCTATCATTGCCTTAATTTCAGGCTCTTGCCATTTCTCACCTAGATGGTTACAATCTTCTCCTAACTGGTCTCAAGCCATGCAATCTACTCTGCAAGCTGCTTCTATGCAATCTTTACAAAATACAAATGTCATCATCTTATTTTTCTATTAAAACCCTTGTGTGGTTCCTTATGATTATCCTCAGAACAAGATAGAAAGTTTCTGACCCAGCATAAAATGCGCTCATGACTGACCATTACTTCCCATGCCAGCTTCATCACATCCCTACCTCCAACTCTAAAATTTTACCCAACAGCCTACTGCAGCAACCCAGATATACTATGCTCTTGCCATTTATGTTTTTGACCCTTCTAGTTCCCCTGCCAGGAGTACCTATTTCTTGTCCTTCTTGTCTGCCAAACCTGGTCTTATCTTTATCTCTGCTAAGAAGTAACCTCTTCCTGTGATTCCAGAAAGCCTTCACTGACACTCATCCCAGAACAGGCCAGCTGTCTTCCTCCCTAAGTGCTCATCAAAGCACTTACCATATCGTACCAACCCCCTCAGTGACTGGTAACCTGAGATCAGAAACCTGATGAATTCTCATCACAGTGCTGGGCACAGAGTAGGCACATAATAAAGCCCATGCTATTTCTACATAGCAAACTCCAAAAAATATTATTTAATAGTTATATTGTTAAATATTTTGGTTAAGGTAACAAAATTCAGCTATTCAAAATTAAATGGTAATAAAAAGTTAAAAGTAGGTGCACTGGGGAATAGGACAGGGAATAAGACAAGGTGAGGCATGCAATGGATTATTGTCTTTCATTAATAGCTGTTCTGCATGATTTGATATTTTACTGTGTGCAGATGTTACTTCAATCAAAAAGCTTTTTAAAAAGGCTTTATGAATAAGCTTTAAATAAAAGTATCAAAACAAATGGGTTTCAACCAGAAGGTTGAAATAAACCAAAGAGAGAAAGGAAAGAAAGAAAATAGTCACACTGCACAAATCAGGGATCTGAAAGAGAAAATCTATTAGAGACCTTTTGATAGAATTGTTGAGTAAGCGTAAGACTTGTGCTTTGCTGCCATCTGGTGCTTAACAGTGGAATGACAGCACTGAAATTCCAAACAATGATTATGGTCACTGGTATCACTTTTCAAGCTCCTAAAATGTGTCAAGCACTGTTCTAAGAGCTTTATGTGCATATCTAATGTATAGGTCCTCTTAAGTTTACAAAGAAAAACACACACACCCACAAAAAAAAAACACACACAAAAACCCGAGTTCTTAGAGGAGGATCTAGAATTCTAACCCAGGCAGCCTGGCTCCAGAATTTGAACTATACAATTTCTACCTCTCAAGGGACCACTAAAAATGATTTGTTCTGAAGTAAAACCAACATCATGCCTACACTAATTCATTGCACAGACAAATCAAGGTAAACAATCCCAGCAGTCAGTGGCCTCAAAACACACAATTTTGACAGCATGGTTGTTTCAACTGTAGCAGAAGTGGAGACGACCTCACAAAACACACTGTGAACTCAATAAGCCCAACCAGGGCAGCTTCACTCCTCTCCCACTCTGTTCAACACAGCCTCCTTTCAGTCTCTCAAATGTAACCTGCTCCCTACCTACTCAGGTCCTTAGCACGTTATACCCTCTGCCTGAATCCCTCCCTCTTATCCTCCAGTTAACTCCTACTTTCCGTTTAGAATTCAGACCAATCAATTATACCTTCCTTCATTTAACAGCTACTGAGTGCCTACTACATACCAGATACTATTCTAGGCAATGGAGATCCACAACAAACAAAATGAACAAAATTCCTAACCTCAAGAAGTTGTAGTTTAGGGGGATATAGAAGAAGATTTAAGTTCAGGATTTCTTTGGGAAAGGATTCCCTGACTAGGTCAAAGTCCTCTATAGTAGTCCCTTATTTATAACATCACTAATCTCACCTTCATAAAACTTATTAACAAATATTCACGTATATATTTGATTACATGACTAATACCCATCTCCACTATTAGGATATACATCCTAAGAATAGAGGCTCTCTTCTGTTCAACACTGAATTCAGTGCCTACCACCAGGCCTACCACATAGCAGAAACTCACAAACTGAACTGTTCAATAGCCAGCAGAGATGGCAAGTTGCCCTGTACAGGCTGGGCTTATAAGTACATTTTCTTGGCAGGCAGGGTGAGTGAGCCACTCCTACTGATGGGCTCCCAGGGTACTTTCCACACACTAGATGTGTCTTTTTGTACTCAGCACCTGGTCTCACTGGTCTCTACATGTGTCTCTCTGTACTCAGCACCTATCTCAGAGATTCACTGGTACCTCTCTCTCACTAGATAATGAGCTCTTTGTCTTCTTTGCACACAGCAAAATTCCTGGCACGTGCTGATACTCCATAAATGATTATTGCCTGAAAAATTCTGATTATCTGCTATCCCAGCAACCAACCTAATAGCTGGCCCTCAACAAGCACTCAGTTCTTATTGAATTGAAAATAAATATATTTATTTTGCCGAAACCGGTTTGGCTCAGTGGTAGAGCGTCGGTCTGCGGACTGAAAAGTCCCGGGTTTGATTCCGGTCAAGGGTATGTACGTTGGTTGAGGGCACATCCTCGGTGGGGGGTGTTGCAGGAGGCGGCTGGTTGATGTTTCTCTCTCATCGACGTTTCTAGCTCTCTATCTTTCTCCCTTCCTCTCTGTAAAAAATCAATAAAATATAATTTTTTTAAAAAGAAAATATATTTACCTTTATATGCATTCACCATGTGACAGACAGAGCTAAGCACTTTATACCTACTACCTCATTTATTCATCACAACAACACTATAAGGTAGATACTTTTCTTATCCCCAGTTTACAGAAAGGGAAAGTGCTGGGTTGACTGATAGACAACCCGTGAACACTGTCTAATGTTTCCTGATTTCACTCATGTAAATACTACCATCATAATTTTGCCATAGTATGTATCCCATTTACTTAGTATTTTCATTAACATGAATATAAAACAATCCCCATTATTTTTAAGTCTTATAAAAAAAAAAAGCTAATATATGTAAAACCACCGTTCTCGCCGAAGCCGGTTTGGCTCAGTGGTAGAGCATCGGTCTGTGGACTGAAGGGTCCCGGGTTCGATTCCGGGCAAGGGCATGTACATTGGTTGCGGGCACATCCCCGGTGGGGGGTGTGCAGGAGGCAGCTGGTTGATGTTTCTCTCTCATCGACATTTCTATCTCTCTATCTCTCTCCCTTCCTCTCTGTAAAAAATCAATAAAATACATTAAAAAAAACCAAAAACACCATTCTCATGTGCTTGTTTTATATATATACACACATGCATATATATATATATATATATATATATATATATATATATATAGTAACTGACTATCAAAATAAAAAATATTCACTCTTCATAACTCTCCATTCTTCAAGCTGGATTTGACCCCAAGGGCCACAATTTGTCAACCCCTCTAAAATCAACTCTCATTCCACACTCTGCTATTCATAGAGCTGCTTGTTATTCTCATATTCTTATTAAACCCCATTCCTCCCAGTTTTGTTGCTAAAATCTTGTGACATAATAACTAAAATCTCCTCTAAGTATCTGTGAGAGCAACAATTAAGTATCTGCAGGGCTGAGTAAGTTTGTTCTACTCAGCTTATAGCAACCAGAGGACACATACCACTTTGTGGAAGTGGCACTAATGAGAGTTCCAATGAATGTATTAGTGTGCACGTCTAATTAGGAAATTCAACAGCTCTGAAACATCCATATAACTCCCTTCCTTCTATTATTTACAATGTACACACATTGCATAATCACCACAGCACATTTTATAAGTGATTAGAAGAATGAAGTGCTTAATTACTTTTCTGAGTAAGAAGCACATTTAGAGAATTTTCATTTCTATTAAGCTCAAGTTTATAATTCATTCATTCAACAAATATTTGTTGAACATGCTCTATTTATCAGGCATTAACCAATGGAAATGACAGTTTGGAAAAAAATAAATAAAATGTCAATCAATGTACATTAACCACTACTCTATATAAAATAATCTAATACTTTTTACAAACTTACCACATATCATCACCAAGATAGCTAACCTACACACATCAGCTGTGAGCTGCATATTAGTATTATCTCCTTCTCTGAAGAAGTATTGTACTTCCCTGTTAACCAGGTACAGCCATGTGACTTGCTTTAGGAAACAAAATTAGAAAGATAAAAGAAGTTCCACATATTTCTTCTGAGCAGAAGTTTTAAAAGCCATGTTTTCATTTGCCCTCTGCACAAGCAGATAGAGACTGCTCCAGCATGTTACCAGTGAATCCTGGACTTAAGAAAGATGGAGCAAAGCCCCAGCTGACCCATGATGGCCATACAGTCTGAGCAAAAAATAAACTTTTGCAATAAGCCACTGAGATTTGGGGTTCTTTCCATGTTAATACAAGAAAGAATAGGCAGAATTCAAAAGATGCCATGTTTACATTTCCATCCACTGATTATTCATTTAAATACCAATCTAAGAACTGCTCTGAAAGGATTTTGCAGGTGTAATTAAAACCCCAAGTCAGCTGACCTTAAAATCAGAGACTATCCAGGCAGTCCTGACCCAAACAGGTAAGCCCTCTTTAACAGAAAGTTTCTCTGGCTGGTGGCAGAAGAGGAATTAGAGAAATCTGAAGAAGAAGAACTCAACATGCCATCACTAAATTAAAAAGGAAGGGGAGTTACATAAGAAATGTGGATGACATTGAGAAGCAGAGAGCAGTCCTTAGCTGAAAGCCAGCAAGAAAATGGGAACCTCAGACCTACAACCACAAGGCAACAGATCTGCCAACAACCTGAAGAAACTTGAAGCAGATTCTTCCCCAGAGCCTCCAAATAAGAGCCCAGCAAAGCTTGCCTGGACTTCTGACCTGCAGAACTAAGAGCTAATAAATCAGTATTGTGTTAAATTGCTAAGTGTATGGCAATTTGTTATGCGGTCATAGAAAATTAATACATAAAGCTTATATATGAGAAACCTGGCCCTAATTTCATACCCTAGCTATCCAGTGCTACTATAATGAATAAAATGTGAATTCACATAATATTGTTCCTAAATGCGAGAAGTTTTAAATCATGATGTATTTTCATCATCAAAGATTTATATCAAAATTGCCTGATGCAGTGATTGTGACTGTTTAATAAATCTGAATGCTCTCCCATCTTGAGATCCTTTATTATTTACTAGTGACCAGGTACATAAAATTCATGCACAAGGTGGGGGGGAAGGGGGGTGTTGTCCCTCGGTCCAGCCTGCACCCTCTCCAATCTGGGATCCCTCAAAGGATGTCCTACTGCCCGTTTACAGGGATCAGGCCTAAACCGCAGTCAGACATCCCTCTCGCAATCTGGGACTGCTGGCTCCTAATCACTCACCTGCCTACCTGCCTGATTGTCCCTAACCACTCTGCGGGCGGCCTACTCGCCCCCAACTGCCCTCCCGCCCCCCCCCCCCCCCGCCAGCCTGATCATCCCTACTCCCCCCTATGCCACCGTGCTTGCCCCAAACTGCCCACCTGCTGGCCGGCTCACCCCAACTGCTCCCCTGCTGGCTGCTCACCCCAAACTGCCCCCCTGCTGATCTGCTCACTCCCAACTGCCCCCCCCCTCCCATCACCGGCCTGATTACCCACAACTGCCCTTCCTTCTTGCCTCTAACCACCTCAACCTCGACCCCGCCACCATGGCTTTGTACAGAAGAACATCCAGAAGGTCTCCTGGAAGGTCTCCCAGTCTAAGTAGTATATTATCCTTTTATTAGTATAGATTAGGCACACATATAGGGCAATTCATAAGTACATGTAGTATTATATAGGCCCACTCAGAACTGCATAAAAGTTTCTAGAGGATCTATGACTTGCTCTTTTCTATATTCTGCTAAAAGATGTGACTAGATCCTAAACACACATTAGGCATTCAAAGAAAAAAACTGTCCGACTGATATAAGTATTTATTATATTGTATTAACCTTGGTTATCCTCAAATGAGCAAAAGGTTGTGAAGTATACAAAAGGAAGATAGTAAAAGAACGAGGCCACCAAGGCAAAAGGCGCCTTACCTTCACATCTGACACCTGGGCACCAAGGCTGCTGAGCCCCACGATGGAGTAGAAAGCAGATTCTAAACTTGTGAAAGGGTGGTCCAGCGAAGCTTTCAGTCTCTCCACATCGTGCTTGGTGAGGTAGTGAGTGGGCGTCAGAGCCTGGGCACTGGCTATGATTGTCAGGGCCAACAGGAAGACAGTGCTTGAACCTTTAGAAAAAATGACTATTAAACACATTCCATTCTATTCCAAAGTCTATATAGTTTCAATGATGATGCCCACCAAAGTCCAGAACCAAATCATGTAAGGAAGGGTGAGGGGACTGGAGAGAAGCCTTGGGGAAGTGGTGGACACTGTCCTCAGCTATCAGAAGGACAGTCCTCCCAGCAGCCTCATATGCTAAAGCACAGGACTCATCACACCATTCCCATTTCAAGTATTATACATTAGCAGCTCCTACGTCTCTCAGGACAGACACAATCCTGGATCTTCTTCATGGCCTTGCCTCTCTCTCAACCAGATCTCTTCCCTCTATTGGTGGCTCTGCTCTCTAGCTTCCTGTCTGTTTCTCCAAGGAGCCCTGTTTCTCCCCACCCTGCATTTTTTCATGCTTTCCAAACCTACTTACACTATGATTAATTTTTACATTTCGATTCCAGTTCAAAAGTATCTTTTCCTTAAGAAACCTCCCAATAGGTCTCCCTTGGATTAGGTCCCAGGTCAGTATTATAAAGTAGTGAAGAATATGGCCTGTGAAGCCAAGTTTATTTTTAAAAAAATATATTTTATTGATTTTTACAGAGAGGAAAGGAGAGAGAGAGCTAGAAACTAGAAACGTCGATGATAGAGAAACATCGACCAGCCGCCTCTTGCACACCCTCTACCGGGGATGTGCCCGCAACCAACATACATATCCCTGACCGGAATCGAACCCGGGACCCTTCAGTCCGCAGACTGATGCTCTACCACTGAGCCAAACCGGCTTCGGCTGAAGCCAAGTTTAAATCCTAACTCTGTCATTTATTAGCAATGTGACTGTGGCAATTACAATAAGGCCAGCCTGTGCCTCATTGTCAAAAGGAATTAATAATAGTACCTATTCCTCAATGTTAAAAGCTTTACATGAATATTCAAAAATCTTAGAACAAGGACTATCTAAATGTTGGCTAAATTGTTATTGTTGCCATATCCATTCATAGCCTTGTACTTCTATATTTTTCACAACTTTAACAGTGTAATGTCTGATGCCTCTGTTAGCTGTAAGCTCCATGAGGACAGACTGTCTTGTTCATCTTAATAGTTCCAAGTCTTGCACACTGTGGTGGACAAAGGAACACTGAATTAACTTTTGCTAAATAAATGGAAAATTAATCTTCATCTATTATGCCAAGGAAACAGAAAGTTATAGGAGTGATACAGTCTACTTGTCATTAACACACACACACTCTCTCTCTTGAATGGGCTGTGTCATGAACTGTCTGCTATCCAAGTAACTGTGATCACAAGGGTAGCATTAATGGTCCTAAATTCTTTGTCTACAGTGTCAAACTGAGCTTGAACTAGAACCCTTAAAGAAAGAAAATATTATATCAATTTTACAAGTAAAAAAACTGAGGACCAGAGTAGTTTACACATAGTCAATCTTAGACTCAAACTCAAGTCTAACTGTAATGTCCATACAGCACTATGTTTTAGAAAATGCTTGGGGCATGAAGGTTAGTTCTACTTAATTCCTTGTATATATTAAATAATCTAGTGTAAAAACTCTTTTTAAAAAAATATATATTTTATTGATTTTTAAAAAAATATATTTTATTGATATTTTACAGAGAGGAGGAAGGGAGAGAGAGAGAGCTAGAAATGTCGATGAGAGAGAGACATCGACCAGCTGCCTCTTGTACACCTCCTACCGGGGATGTGCCCGCAACATAGGTACATGCCCTTGACCGGAATCGAACGCAGGATCTTTCAGTCCGCAGACCGATGCTCTACCACTGAGCCAAACCGGTTTCAGCATAAAAACTCTTAAAAAAGCCGAAACCGGTTTGGCTCAGTGGATAGAGCATTGGTCTGCAGACTGAAGCGTCCCACGTTCAATTCCGGTAAAGGGGAAGTACATTGGTTGCCGGCACATCCCTGGTGGGGGTGTGCAGAAGACAGTTGATCCATGTCTCTCTCATCAATGTTTCTAACTCTCTTGTCCCTCTCCTTTCCTCTCTGTAAAAGATCAATAAAATGTATTTTTTTAAAAAAACAAAAACAAAACTAGAGCCCAGCTGGTGTTGCTCAGTGGTTGAGCATCAACCTATGAATCAGGAGGTCACTGTTCAATTCCTGGGCAGGTCACATGCCTGGGTTTTGGGATCAATTCCCAGTATGAGGCATGCAAGAGGTAGCCAATCAATGATTCTCTCATCATGGACGCTTCCCTCTCTCCATTACTCCCTGAAATCAATAAAAATATTTTTAAATAAATATTTAAAAAGCTAGAGATATCTATAATGTGGAGTATTCATTAATCAAATATTTACTGAATGCCTACTATGCACCAAGCATTGTTCTGGTGTTGAAGATACAGCAGGAAACAGACCAAACAAATGCCTCTAAAGCCATAGAGCTTACGTTCTAATGGGAAAACAAAAATATCTCACTAAATAAGATTATTTAGCATTTAAAAAGGTGAAATGTGCTATGGAGAAAAATACAACACAGAAGAGACATCTGAGAAGAACTTCAATTTTAAATATGATAGACAAAGTAAGAAATGAAAAAATGTGGCAGACTTGAAGGAAAAGAAGGAGCAAATCATGAAGGTATTTGAGGGAAACAAGCCCAAGGAGAAAAGCAAGTTCAAAGACCATGAATCAAGAGTATATACGGTATTTTTTTACATTAGTAAGGAGAACACTATGACTAAAGAGGAGTAAGCAAAGGGTGATAAGTAGGGACAAAATGACAGAGAGAGCAGAGGCTAAATCCAGAGGGTCTTATAAGCCACTGCAGGAACTTTGGCTTTTACTGAGCAAGATGGAAGCCACTAGAAAGTTTTGAGCAAAAGAGTGATTTGACTTACATTTTAACAGAATAACTGTGTTGAGAATAAACAATGCTATATTGAGATTATACAGGTCCAGGGACCTAAAAAAGGGACACTAGTTAAGAGACTATTGCCATAATCCAAGTAAAAAGGTGAGTGACCGCCAAAACCGGTTTGGCTCAGTGGATAGAGCGTTGGCCTGCAGACTGAGGGGTCCCGGGTTTGATTCCGGTCAAGGGCATGCACCTTGGTTGCGGGCACATCCCCAGTGGGGGGTGTGCAGGAGGCAGCTGATCGATGCTTCTCTCTCATCAATGTTTCTGACTCTCCCCTCTCTCTTCCTCTCTGTAAAAAATCAATAAAATATATTGAAGAGAAAAAAAAGATGAGTGACCCAACTCAGGGACAGCAGTAGAGATGGTAAGAAGCGATCTGGCTAAAATTCATAGTTAATGCCAGAATTGCTCATGTAGAGAATGAGGAGTCAGGATACTCAATGCTGAATGAATCCATTGTGTATACATGCATATACACAATATATTAAAATCTAGTAAATGGCTATGATCTATCCAGCATTTTCCCAGCTAGACTGTAAATCCCCCTAACACAGCATCCGTGTCAGAATCCTAATCTTCCCACCTCCCATTAATGATAACAATAACTCTCTTGGCTAAAATTTGCACACTTAACATGGGTCGGGTATGCCCATACTAAGCTAGGTACTTTGTAATGCATTGAATCGTTAAATACTCAACATCCAAGTGAGTGGTGCCCTTTAAACACACACACACACACACACACACACACGAAAATGAGACTCAGAAGCAGTTACCTGCCCTATCACACACAACTCGCTGAAGATCAAACTGCAGGCAGTTTGAATCCAAAGTTTGTTTTTAACACCTCTTTTTACCTTTTTAAATAATGGAGCGGTAAGCCATTGGCGTTCTCCCTTCCCTCTCGCCTGTCACGTGGAAATAACAAAAGTACACATTTCCCAAGCTGTGGTGGGACATCGGAGTCCACCCTGCAGTGACCACTCGTTAACTGGCCATGCAGGTAACCTCACTGAGTGCTTCCTTAATGACACACACTGTTCTAAACTATGCACGGAGGCTATCTCATTTAATACAGCCATTAAAGAGGCAGACAATGTGTAATCTATCTTACGGATGAGAAACTGAGGGGCAGTGTGGGGAGGTGGGGGGGGGTGTTAAGTACACGGCGGTGGGGTCACATAATACATGCGCAGCGGCCTGCAAGCCTGCCCCCGGGAAACCTCAACTCCCAGAGGGGTGATTTGCTTTGCCTCTTGCACCAAAAAGAAAAAACCATGTCCCAACGGATGATTTGGCCAAAGGCTAGCTAGCTCTTAGGCCGCCTGACCCGGGAGCCCACGCGAGTCCAATGAATGAGCGAAGCCTTGACCTGCGGTTAAATCACGCCCCTCGGTGCCCGGCTGGTCCTCGGGGGGACCCGTAGCGCGGCCCCGCACTCCCCTCCCACCCCGAACCCCCTCCTCGGGTCCCGCGCAGTCCCACCCGCCCGCCAGTCCTCCGTCAGACTCTCGACCCAGCAGAGCCGGAGCCCATGCCCCAGTCCCGCCGAGGAAGGGGACCCCGCCTGGCCGGCTCCCGAGTGGTGAACACTAGCCTCCCGCGGGCGCCGGCCCAGTCGCCGAGGCGTGCGGTCCGCGGGGCCCCGCCAGAGAGCCATGCGCAGCACCTCACCCGGCGGCGCCATTCCTGCGAGCAGGTCCCAGGAGCGTCCGCACCGCAGGCTGACTTCCGCTCGGGAAAGTGGCTCCGGGAGCGCGCCGGAGGGGACGCCGGGAACTCGCGGCAGGCTCCGCGTGCTGAGATGGACTCTAGGGGCAGGTCAGTGCCCGCCGTCCCGCTGGGCCGGGCTGCTCTCTGTAGCCACAGCCGGGATTCTGGTCCTCGTGCCCGAAGGACCTCGCGGTCCTCGCTCAAAGGCCCGCTCCCCCCGGCACTCAGGTCCACTTGGTACCGGCCACCTTGCAACTGTCTTATTCCGGGCGCTACCGCGACGCTATTGGGCGAGGCTTCAGGGCGGGCCCGAGACGGGGCCTCCTCTGATTGGCCCATCGCCTGTCACTCAGTCGTCTCTGCAGCCCGGTCAATTTTAAAGAAATGGGAAGGGTCAGTTTGGGGAAGGGCGGTATTCGAGTATTGTTTATTTTTTATTACCCTTTGGTAAATGATGGCAATTTCCTCCAAAGATTGTTTCGGTTGTTAATTAACCTATGCGTGACATTTTATCTGATTTGCAAAGCATTTGTCTTGACTCCCAATAATTCAGTGACTCCTCATTACTATGAGGAGCATTTAGCCAAGATTACGAAGTAACAAGCTAAAAAATGGGAGTGAACTAAAAACTGATAATAATAACTAATTCCATTTATTGACAATTAACAGGATAACCCGACTGTCTATACGTACACTATTTTGTTTACTCTCAATCACCACTGAGAGGTGTATAGTTATTTCATTTTACAGAGAAGGAAATAAAGATTTGAACCCAGGTAGTTTGACTCCGTAATCTGTGCATTTTAACTATTATGAGCATATGAAGTATGCACAAAACGGTAACTCTTTTTTGTTTTGTTAATGGTCACCAGAGGATATTTTTTTCCCATTGCTTTTCAAAGATAAAAAAGGAGGGAGAGGGGAGAGAGAGAGACATCTACTACCATGTTTCCACGAAAATAAGACATCCTCCGAAAATAAGACCTACTTACAGGTTTCCTTCTGAGTGAAATATAAGGCATCCCCCCGAAAATAAGGCCGCCCTCCCCCCCTCCCCCCCCCCCCCAGGCTAACCATGAGAGATTTGGTCCACTGATTCTGAAAGAAATGGAGTCACAAGAAATTCACCAGGAAATTCAGGAATTGGATTGTTATGATGATGTTCCAGAAGATGATGACATGTTTATCATTGAATAAATGAGTAAATTCTTGATATTGTAGGATTCACAGTTTGTCTGGTTTGTGTTGACAACTACCGTACTACCGTACTGTATACAAATAATAAATTTTCTTTATTTTCATTTAACAATAAATGTGTACCGTAGTCTTCTTCATGGAAAAATAAGACATCCCCTGAAAATAAGACCTAGCGCATCTTTGGGAGAAAAAATTAATATAAGACTCTGAAGAAACAGGGTAGTTGCCTTCTGCACATGCAGGGATGGGAAGAGAACCCACAAACCAAATATGTGCCCTTGACAAGAAACCCAACCAGAGACCCTTTGATGCTATAACCACTTAGCAACACTGGCCAGGACACAATATGGTAACTTTTATTATCATTATTAGTGCCTCAGATATTATTACCCCAAATAGTGAGAGTCAGTTCTTGCTATGTCTAGTGCTGTGCTGTTTACTGTGGTAGATACTAGCTATATGTAAATATTTAAATTTGAATTTGAATTAAGCAAAAGTAAAAGTTAGTTTGTACTAGCCACATTTAAAGTGCTCAATAGCCACGGGTGGCTAATAGGTATCATATCGACAGAGCAGAATTATAGAACACTAGAGGCCCAGTGCATAAAAATTCGTGCACTTGGGGGCTGGGAGGGGCTCTTAGCTGGGCCTGTACCCTCTCACAGTCTGGGACCCCTCAGGGAAATGTCCACCTGTCAGCTTAAGCCCGTTCTCCGGGATGGCCCAAGCTGGCAGTCAGACATTCCTGTGGCAGCCCAGGAGCCCTTGGGGGATGTCCACTTGCCAGCTTAGGCCTACTCCCCAGAGGGAGCAAGCCTAAGCTGCAATAAGACATCCTTGGCACTGTCAAGGAGGAGGGAGAGGTTCCCACTACCACTGCTGCTCTGGCAGCCATCAGCCTGGCTTGTGGCTGAGTGGAGCTCCCCACTGTGGGAGTGCACTGACCACCAGGGGGCAGCTCGAGTTGAGCGTCTACCCCCTTGGTCAGTGCACATCATAGCAACCTGTAGTTTACAATTTGTATATTAGCCTTTTATTATATAGGATGGGAGACAGTCAATAAACAACACAAATTAACTTGATTATTGTAGGCAATGGTTAAATACTATGAAAATATAAGAAAATAACTATTGGACTGGGGTGGGGAAAGGCTGGTTAACCTAGATTGGTGATCAATAAATGCCTCTGAAAAGTGACATTTAAGCTTGAGTGATGAAACAGAAGCAGTCTTGAAAAACTAATTTTTCTAATTCCCTTTTTATTCCTAGGATCTGTAGTTGGGAAGTAGTGATCCCTTATGCTTCCGATAGTGATTCAGGAAGTGTGGATTTGCAGCTGAGCAACTTAGAGGATATTATAAAGGACTCAAGTAAATTTGAATTTACAGGTAAAAGGGGGAAAGAATGGGGGGAGAGGGAAGTAGGGAGAGACATCTCTTTTCAAGTCAAGTGGTTGGGTAACCAGCTCTTGAATAGACTTTGATAGTGAATTTGGTCCCTGACTTTAAGACTTTGGAATATGATTGGAAAAATGAGATAAGATACATTATTCTAGACATACAGGACACTAACTTGGTCCTGAGACAAATAATCCTGCCTATTTGCACAGAGACTACATACTATTAATAGAAGGATTCTGAGAAGAGAAAGGTAGGTGTGGGTGGAATTTGGATTGGGTTACAAAATAACTATTATTTATTCTATAAGTATTAAGTATCAGTTGCTGGACATGCATCAGTGAACAAAGCTAACATGGTCCCTGCCCTCACAGAATTTACATCATGTGCTGAGAAGAACCAAAATAAGTCAAGAGACAGTAAATAAAGTAATTACAGTTGTAGTAAACACTATGAAAGAATTAAACAAGGGCTAAGACAAAAAATAAAATAAAGGGATGGGAACCTACTTTAAATCATGTTTGTCAGAGAGAACCTGTCAGAGACACTGCTGTTTAAACCTAAAGAGGGTCTCAAAAACATGAAAGAGCTACCCAGGTGAGAAGTAGAGAGAAGAGCATTCCAAGTAGGTGGAGCAGTATTTGCATGAAACAGGAAAATCTATGGTAAGTTTGAGGAACTACATTTATTTGTACATTCATTCAATAAATATTTATTGAAGCCCTGCTGTACTCTAAACACTGATCTAGTTGCTGGAGATATAGCAGTGGACAGAACAAATACAGTATACTCATAGAGAAACAAAGAATTGGAACTCAGAATAATGTGTGACAGGGGATGGAGATGGGGGTAAGGAGCAAATATGGAGAGGTTTATTAGCAGCTAGTAAGATAATTAGCCAAAATGAGCCGAGGGGGTTCAGGAAAGATTTCATATAGCTGAGCCCTGAAGTATGACTAGGAGTCAGATATGCAACGAGAGATAAAGGAAAGTGGGAGAGAAGAAGGGGAAAATACAAGCAGAAGGAAAGGCTTTGTGAAGATAGCAGGTGAACAAGAACGTGGCTTCTGCTGGATAACAAAGATGTGGCAGGGAGCGGTAGGAATTTGCAGACGAGGCTATAATTCAGGAGACCAAAAGGAGTACAAAAACTGAGTGGTAGAAATCCTCAGATGATAGGCGTTTTAAGGGGAAATAGCCTGTTTCTCCAATAGGAACAGGGATTTGGTAAAAATAGAGAAGGTAAAAGATGTAAACCTACATGATGCCACCATAATTATTGTCTCTCGGTGAACAAAGGAATAAGATTTGCCAACACTTTGATGCTAGTTCTGGATCATTCAAATGAGGTAGATTCTATTTTGATCCCCATTTTGGAAATGAAGAAATAGGCCCAGAGAAAGTAAGGCCTCACAGTGTCAGAATGCTAGAAAAAAAGCAGAGCAAGGACTCCCTACTCTGAAGCCTGTGCTTTTAACATAAATATCAGATTGGAAAGAAAATACCTCGAGCACTTACTACAACCTGGTCAAGCAGAAAGAAAACAGCAAGGGGCTGCTACTATACTATAAGCTCTTGTCACCACAGTCTTGAATAATATCTACTCTTTAAGTGCTTTCTGTGGGCCACATACTGGGATAAGTGTTGTATGTTTTTCCTCACTTAATCCTCATAATGGTCCTGTTTTACAAGTGAGGAAACTAAGGTTTCAACAGACAAACTTGATAAAAGTCATAGAACTAGAGGAGCGGCATAGGTAAACGCCTGGACTTACTGCCTCCCACAACCAACTCGAAATTACCAATAAACTACAGAACAGCTATCATCCAGAACTGCAAGGAGGCACGGATTGGTCTGGTTCAGCACCTAGATGTGCCGCTCTTTTAATCAGAAGGGAGATCACCTGTTTGGATGCTGCCTGGAAGAACGACGAGGCCCAGCCTACACCAGAGCCCCAGCCAGGGTCCCAGAGCTGGGAAAGAAATCTCTAAAGGCAGAACTACGGACCGTAAAAACAAGTGGGGATTAGGGCTGAGTGACACAGGCTGCTGGAGACCCAGCTGCTCCTCTTTTTCTTTTTTTTCTTTTTTTTTTTTTTTTAATATATTTTATTGATTTTGTACAGAGAGGAAATGAGAGAGATAGAGAGTTAGAAACATCGATGAGAAAGAGTCATCGATCAGCTGCCTCTTGCACATCCCCTACTGGGGATATGCCCACAACTAAGGTACATGCCCTTGACCGGAATTGAACCCGGGTCCCTTCAGTCCCCAAGCTGACTCTCTATCCATTGAGTCAAACCGGTCTCGGCCCAGCTGCTCCTCTTAAAAGGCCAGCACCATGAGCTGAATTTACAAACTCCTGCTTGCTCTGAGTTCCAG